ACGGGTCTCACGCGCGTGGCTCATGGGTTCGACATGAGTGACCAACGCGCCGCACACGGGTTGCGTCACGCGTTGCACACGCGTGTAAGGGGAATGAACTTTCAGGCAGTAGTATAAGTTTAAGTTTCTGTTAAATAGATAATACTTGCCTATTTCTTACCTCCATGCATAAACCACCCATGATAAAACAAGGGTGGAGGGACAGTCAACATACAAAGAAAAATTCGTTCAGCTATGTGTTATGTTTCGAGGAAACATTGATTCTGTTAAAACAAGCTAACAAGATATCCGTCTTGTTACAAGAGCAGCAAAGTAATAAACTGATCTTATACTGCCACTGCTTGCAAGTTAGAGGAGACACATCTTGCATATATCAAAGATGAACAGAAATTATGTCATTATCTGTATATGCCATGTTGGCGACGCCATGTTTGATTGGAAAATTTCCATCACCATTTTCCTGTTTCCGATCAGCCGCATAAGATTGAGTCATCTCAGGCATCTTTGATGCTTTGACATTTACCTCTGGTGTTGCATCAACGTCGTATTTCTGAAAAGGTAAAGATTCAAATTACCTTTACATGCCATTTTAATTAACCTCATTAGAGTCAGCTTCTCCAGTGATGCAGCTGTCTAATAGTTTCTTTAAATTTCACCAATCAAAATTCCAAATTCATAGTAGAATGCAATATAAGCATACCCCTTCGTGATTGACTCCGAATCTGAGAGGTCGGAGGATCATCTCTGGCAAACAGGGGAAGAGGCAGTCAAATAGAGGGCATATGAGACGTGGGTCCAGGCTTTTGGGGTCCGTTCTTCCTAAAAGGAACAAAGCCATGCGTTTGTATTGATCTTATGTATGCTTTTGCTTGTTTTTAAATCAGTTGTAAGCATGACTACACATTAATGCAAAGTGCACTTTGATCTCACATTTCCAATCATAATGTTAATTGGTATGGTCTTTTGAGTGTTGGAATTAAATGTTCTGCTTCCTTTGTCTACCTCTTTGAATAATTATCGTATCTTGTTTGTTTTGATCGATGCACATGATGTCGATCACAAGAGTGTCCAGACTATCATTTACAAATAAACCAACTTTGCATGACAGGCGTCACATGTATTTCCTGTTTAGACCCAAACACCTTCTTGGGTGTACTACCTGTAACTACCTCAGTGACTGGCAGGATCTGCCTTCATTTACCTCTTGGTTGGTTCAACTTCGTAGGCTTGTTGTTTAACGCCGCACTAAGCAATATTCCAGCTATATGGCGGCGGTCTGCGGAATACGATGACATGTGTCAAACAAGTCAGCGAGCCTGACCACCCGATCCCGTTAGTTGCCTTTTATGACAAGTCTGGGCTGCTGAAGACCACTTCTAACTCGGATTTTCACGGGTCTAATGTGCCTGGGGCAGGTATACGAAGTACCTAGGAAGTTTAAGCTTCTGAACACAACTTATACGTATAAATGCAGGAATTGTTTGCCAATCAAAGAGCTCATTCCAAGGTCAGCATTCAAAATGCAGTACCCCTAAAATTATGAACGGAATATGTTTTGGTGTTTTTGATAATGGTTTCAAATACTGAGGATCCTTTGTGAGAACCGAAGTATAAGGAGATGATATTAATTCTTTGTGAAAGAGGAAAGCATAAAGGCATTGACTTATCAAATGTCAAAATCATCCTGTTGAACTAATCCGGTTCACTGATAGTAACGTGAAACGATTAGAAACTTTATATAACTTTGATTTAATTATTATTACAAAGCTCAACTTACACTTAACATTTTGTTATGAATAATTTTGTATATGAATTACATTTTTGATGAACTATTACTGTCAATTGTTTCTTCAACATTGCGTTGGTCGATTGTGCCAACTGAGGCCATCGTAGGCCTCGATCGTAGGCCTCGATCAACTGAGGATACTAGAAGAACAAAGACGGGGTCATCCAGTTACCTGTGATGAAGCTGACGATGAGCCCGACAATCACCACTATTGCAACCGACGTCGCTGTGTAGTTCATATACGACAACGTGTACAACGGATAGAAGGGGTCACTGTGGAAAACAATACTTGTTTATTATTGTAACCGACATACTTTGTAAGATGGGCGGCAGAAGTGATTTAATTACCTGTACTTAACCGTCTTCGTTGACACACCTAGTAACTCGTATCTCGTAAATTAAACGGCTTTGAAGCTTAGAAGGTAATCTCTCTTGCACAAACAATTTCATGTAGGATTAAAATGAAATTATATTCACTCATGATCTGATATAATTTTGAACTGGCGTGTTGGTTTCTAATAACCTAATAGGTACCCATGCGTAGTCTTCCCCTAACCCCAGTAGAAATAATGACATGAAACTCTTCAGAGGATCAAAGGATTTTTGTTTGTTTGTTGTTTAACGCCACACTAAGCAATATTCCAGGTATATGGCGGCGGTCTGTTAATAACAGAGTCTGGACCAGACAATCCAATGCAAAAAAATAAATACTTTTGAACCTCTGTGAAATGTATTTTACGTAATATGCATTATATATTAACAGCTGACATTTAAACACTTCATGTCGATCCGATACAGTCTCACCTTGACTTTGACGTCGGGGGAAGATTAACAGCTGCAGTTGAGTTCACGGTGGACATTGTGGTAGCGATCGTCGTCATTGTCGTTGTTGTGATGTTCCAGTTGCAGCCGATAACAGACACGGCAGACGGAATGGCATTGAATGCTCTATTGACAAAGGCCGCTATGCAGATCCATAACATAATCGCGAGAGACGTCAGACCTCCAACTATGGCACCCTGTAATAGTGATGTTAGCAAGTCAAAATAATGGTGTTATACTGATATGATGTTACAACAATGTTGCCAGTGTACGCGTTTGATTTGACTTGCATTCTCAGGCAATTTGAAAGTAAATATTAACACCACCCTCATATTGAATCTCGGACACGGTGTTCAGGTTGCAGTTCATGGATACATCTCCTTCTTCTTGGAGTGAGTGAGTGAGTGAGTGAGTGAGTGAGTGAGTGGATATTGCTTAACACCGCATCAGCAATTTTGCAGCTATTAGCGGTGAGTTCATGGAAAGAGAGTGCAGTGTTATTTTAAAATTTCAAGTGGGCATGACATAATTTGAATCATTGAGGATTAGGTGTAGATTCTAGTACCATTCTAGAACGAAAGATGTAAAGAAATAATGAGTGTTTTCTCACAAAATAACACCATTAACCATAGTCAAGGACCTTATCCAAACATCCGTCTAACTTACTATCTGGATGCATTGCCCTCAATGAACAATGAAAGGGCAAATTTAAACCCAAAAGATAAGTAAAACTGTAGTTTCTCAGAAGCAAATATTTTTAAGGTTCTGGCCCAAGTTAGAGTTGCTATTGCCTCTTGACGTAAGAAATCACCAACGATGTAGCCAAGCATTGTTGTCCTGGCCTTGTGTTCGGAGGATGGTCATCGAAATGTGGTACAACAACCCTACCTAGGATGTCACTGATCCATTACCGTTATCCATTCTGATCGTCACAAGGTCACGTTTACAGTCGTATGAGAAGCAACCCCACATCATCAATGAACCAACGCCTAACGGTGCTAGTTTCACTACATATGCAGTGTTTCTCCGACGCCAAACCGAGCTCGGACATCAGACATGAACAAAAGAAATCGACTTTCGTTCTAGCAGTGGATCCTCCCTCATCATGTCAAATTTCAGTGTCGTGTACCTCAGAGGTAGTCGTGCTGCTTTGTGCTCTGGGGATAACAAGGGTCGTCTAAGAGGTCGTCTGGCTCCATGCCCAGTCCGTTTTAGGGCCGTTCTGTTGGACAAAGACGACGTGGATGTCACTTTGCTTTTTAATGCGCCATCTGACGCACCCAGAGTCTGTGACTCTGAGAAGGCAGTTGTCACTCATGGTCGACCTGAAAGCTGATGGTCGCTTAACATTATGTTTGCTGGTGTTTTCTGGACAACCGGCTGATGATGATGTCTGAACCAATCAAGGGGTGATGCTTCAGCTTCGTCTTGAGGCTGTAGTTCTTGCGCTTCCAGATGGGGCGGTGTCTGCTGAAGGCACCTCTTGTCTTACTCAACCGAGCCTTAATATCTTTGTGGGCACCATTGTCGTTGCTAATGACGCTGTCAAGGTAAATGAAGTCTTGGAAATACTTCAGTTCTCCTTCACTGATGGTAATCGGATTTGTGGCAGGGGCGTTGATATTCACCACTTGGGTCTTTTCTGTATTTATCTGTAGCTCAATGTCATTGGCGCACTTGTTGAGTCTGGTAGATATTTCTTGGAGGTGCTTGAACAGGGTGGAGATGACAGCTAAGTCGTCGGCAGAGTAACGTCTCGAGATAGAGGATATCCCTCCTCCCCCGATAAACATTACAATGTCTGACAACTTGGTCTTGCGCAATGTCGGTTTGCAGCATACCCATGGTACCTAGACGTTGATTTTCAACAGCTGTTGCATTGCGCAAAATGTAATCCATGAACCTTAATGTGAGGAAATGTGGCCATGAACGTGCATTATTTAAATTCAGAATACATTTATTATTATTGAATGTTACACTGAACACAGTTACTTTTGTTCTCTGATATCAGAACTTACCCAAGAGTTCGCCCATGGAAAGAACATTCCCAAAACAAAGATTCCAAACATTGGCCCTCCCAGGACGCTTGTTACAGCATACGTTGCCTGAATTGTAAACGCGCTGATTTAAATAAAACTATGACGTTTATAAATGCTACTCGTATTAAGGAAGTATACTATTGTAGATACAATATACATTAAACGTATTTTAATAGTGTGACAATATAAGTGGCACTTTTACAATCTTAAAGTATGAAGGATGTTTACGTTCAAAATATTTTACACCATTAATTAACGGCACACCTCATATGCAGCCTTTTGTGGGGGAATTAATGGTAATGTAGCACCCTGTCATATTATATATTACTGTCATATATTGCGAGTTATTTTACCTGAAGGACGCTCCCCAACTGAGCCACGCCATATGTACAAGCTATTGTCACACCACCCATAACGAATACTGTAAAATACAGGAATATTACTTTCACGCCGCTGCACATTAAAACAAATGTATTATACGCAGTATCACACACAGTATGCATCAACGTATCTTTCAAAGAACACTGCGCAACATTCTTCAAACGATGCTTCAAAGTATCCTATGCAGCGCAGTATCCTACAGGGTTCTCTACACAGTATCCTACACAAAGCCCTAAACAGAATCCTAAACAGTATTTTACATGGTATCCTACGCAGTATTCTAAACAGTATCCTTCAAAGTATCCTAAACAGTATCCTACGCAGTATTCACAGTACCCTAGACAGTTCTGTAAACAGTATCCTACATAAACCACACAGTATCGACACAAGAATCCTAAAAAGTACCGTACACAGTATTTTACTCAGTATCCTACAGAGTATACTACACAGTATCGTAAACAGTATCATTATATTCTTCACAGTATTTTACTCAGTATCCTATATAAGGTATCAACACAGTATATGTACTTACCCGTGACCTTGGAGAGAATGGTCATACTCCTGTCAGACAGTTTCTTACAGCAAAACGGTTGGATCAGATCATGTGGTATGACGGCGCCCATAGCGTTCAGGGTGGATGACAGAGTGCTGTAACACATTTCAGTACGACTATTTATTATTTTTGTTATTATTGGATATTGTATAGCGCACATATCCACGCACTAGTGCATGCTCAAGGCGCTGGTAGATTATCCCTCGATCATTGGATGTCAATCTCAACGGCACATCTTATTATCAATCTCAACTCCCGGGGGATCATACAACTCTTGCAGTCACTAGGCGCACCGAGTTATTGCGGCTTTCCAATCCGTACGAGGTACCCATTCACAGCTGGGTGGACTGGGACACATAGTCACAGTATTTTGTCCAAGCTTACCGCACGTTGCTATACCCGCAACTAGGTGTTTGCACGTAGTCATGTGGCCACCATCTGGTCATATACCAACGGATTCGTGGGTTCTCTTAAGTGCACAGGGTGGTGTACTGTACACTAGGGGTTGTGACAACACTGAAAGAGTCTGCACACAAAGTTGACTCCAAGGTTTTTACACCCGGTCACAGGTGGGCTCGATCCCGGCACCTCATGCTCGCTTGATCACTAGCCTGGCGCTTTAGCCAGCTCGCCCACCATGCCCCACGACTACTCTATCAATGACATGTTTTACACGAAGCGCTGTCTAGTCGAACCCACCACCAAGATCTTTTCGACCCAACACTGGCTTCTGCGTGATGCAGGGTGTCAGAAGGGTATGTTTTGGGTAGCAGACCCCGGTACTCTCCCAAAGACTCTCAAGAGTTCGGGAGGTGCAAAACAAGGGATTGAGAACAGGTTTTGTATATTAAGCCATGTCTTTTTACGAATCTGGTCAATCACATTGGTGTCAAAAGGGACAGATGATTCAAACACGTAAATGATTTCTCAAAATGACAAAATTTGTTTGTTGTTTGTTGTAATAAGGATTAGTATTATCTCGGCTCTCGGCATAGTGAGCATTCTAATGTTATTTCCAAGTACTCAAACGAGGAAGGTTTACAGTCACACAACCATCCCGTGTAATACAGTGAAACCTGGATATACCGGATACCTCTGTTTCATTGAAATCGTCCGTACTAAGAAGCAACGTGTTTAACGATCATGTAACGTGAAATACTTAGCATACATGTCACTAATTCCAACAATAATCTCCAAGAAGGTTGGTGTTACAGTTACCGGGATTCGGAATAAAGGGTGTGTCTTTAGCAAGAGTAAACTCTCTACCTCAGACTTCCGCTGAAGACACATGAGACAAAGACTCCTGGCAATCCTTGGATCTGGCTCAGAATGTCCATGACAAACAGAGGCAGCAGCTGCAACATGGGATGTGAGAAACGATGATCTCGACGGCACGATATTCGTGACACCATGAATGCTGGTTTAAATCACACAATTATATACTCAGCAGCAAAAAAAACCGTCAGTACGAATTCAAAATTAGATAGGCACTGTAATCAAATCATTACAGAAATGGACATAATAAGCGGATCAAAAACAGTTTTGGTGTACAATATTTTGACACATCAATGAATAACTCAGCACAATTTCAAGACATTACGTGAACGTTTGCAGTCCATTCAGACTCTTGACTTCAGTATCTAGTGTGACCACCACGAGCGGCAATAACTGCAGCACAGCGTCTATGCATGGAGTGCACCAATCGATTGATGAAGGCCATTGGCACCTGGAACCCCACTCTGAGAAAGGCCTGGCGCAATAAATCGGCTGTGTTCGGCCTTGGTATGACATTATTCAGTCTCCTCTGAATTTCATCCCAAAGATGTTCAATTGGGTTTAAATCAGGACTAAGGGTTTGCCACTGCATAATGTTGACACCGATCTGCTGTAGGAAGTCCCGTGTAGCTCTGGCAGTATGGGCCTGGGCGTTATCATGCTGGAAAATGTTGTTCCGGTGAAGTGCGAAATGTGGTATGACGTGGGGTCTGAGAGCTTGGTCGATGTAGCGCACCGCTGTGATGCCGCCTCCTCTCCCTGGACCAAGTTTCTGGAACACCACAGGACCCACTCTCTGGTTCGGGCCTATTCCATCCCATACCATGATGCTTGCACCTCCTCATGAGTCTCTTTCCATAACACATTGGTCTGAGTAACGCTGGCCACGTCGTCGCCATATTCTTGTTCTGCCATCTGCAGTTGATACGCAGTACCGACTCTCATCTGTGAACAGAACAGTTCTCCATTGCCTGTATCGCCAGTTTTGGTGTTGTAAGGCAAACTGTAGACGTTCACGCCGATGACGAGGGGTGAGGATAGGTCCACGGTAAGGTCTACGGCAATGGAGGTTCCCGCTGTTAAGACGTCGGCGTACTGTATCAGTACTGATTGGTCTTCCGTGTGTTCCCACTGTCTGGCGTACTGTTTCGGATGCCTGCATGAAGGGATTCTGTACATGCTGTCGCACAACATGGCGGTCTTGTCGTCTTGTGGTCACCCTTGGTCTGCCAGTACGGGGGCGATCATTTGTGGTGTTGGTGGCCCGGAAACGTTGCTGCAGCCTGTAAATGGTCCGAATGTTGTCCTGGAAGTGATTGGCAACAGCTTGTGCAGTGTGGCCAGCTTCAAGTCTTCCAAGCGCCTGGTTCCTCTCAGCTGTCGTGAGTCGCGGCATCCTGCTGACGTTGTAATGTGAATATTTCAACCAGGTTTGGGGGTGCATTTTATAGGGCTGGTCCTTGTGAACAGCACGTGCAGCATGAGTTACATGAAAAACATGGAGAACACCGTACCATCTCCGAGATCAGGTTGCGTTTTTGAGACCATTTCCTGGGTTCCATTCTGAGTTTGGGAAGGAATGTATTTTCTCAGGTAAAGTTAGAGATGTTGTCAAAAAATATACAATCAAAACATTAAATGAGTTTACAGTTATCCGTTTCTGCGAAGGAAAATTCCAAACTGACGTTTCTTTTGCTGCTTAGTATATATAGGCCACAGTCATACCGCTCGCCCATTGCTGACTGCGGCGTTAATCAATGTCATACGAAGTCGCATTTCATGCAAAGTCATACAAAGTACACATTTACAGCCATGCCTGATTTATTTGTTATCTGAAGAACAGCCAAACACCTACCCTGAAAACCATTTTGAAAGTGGTCAAGTGTTATACTTATCGTTGTCATTAAATTGTAATGCTGTGGAGATCTTTACGTTTGCTTGTTTCTACTATTGCCTCTATATTTTTTGTATATTATCTAATCTCATGTTTATAGTTTACTGTATATCGCCTATCCTTTGGTGTGTAGTTGTGTAAGTCACACTTACCTGATCTGTGCTGAAGATGAGGTTGTTGAATTTTAACGGGTGACAGTCGGCGTAGAAGGCGTACATGACGATGCCGATCATGCAACATAGGCTGACGATGAAGATAAGTCCTGGCAGGTTTATCAACAGGGCTCTGTAAATGGGAGTAATAGTAATAATAATAATAATAATAATATTGTTTGAATAATACAATATTCACAGGGTGTTTGACAAACCTCGTGTCATCCTACTGCTTTTCTTATGACATAATTTATAGAGAGCAGAAGGGAGCAAGGAAGGGATGAGGTGGGTGCAAGGATCACCTTCTTGTACAGAAAATCATTTGAAAGAGGCTAAAATATATCACCGCAACCTCTCCATGTGCTGGATTAACTTAAAAAAAGCATACGACTCTGTCCCTCGTGAATGGACTCTGAAGTCTCTTGATTGTATTGACCTCCCTGAGCGACTACTTGATTTACCCAAGTCTTTAATTAGCTACTGGTCGACTTAACTTGAGATGTACTCGCAAGGGCAGGTGCATACTTCGGAATCTATTCAATCAAAAGGGGAATATTCCAGGGGGATTCCTTTTTTGCTTGTCTTTAAATCCTATGAGCTTTCTGCTCAATAGGGAGGAGGGTTACCATCCCGGACCTCCTCAGCACAGATCCCCAACACCACTTACTCATCTCCTTTACATGGATGACATTGAGCTCCTTGCCAAAGGAGATACCAATTTGAAAGAGCAGGTTCTCCTTGTTAAGTCCTTTTCTTATGATATTGGCATGATATTTGGACTCGACAAATGTAATACTCTTCTTTGAAACGTGGCAAGGTAACTAATGATGGATCGGTCAAGTAACAAGGGGGAGGAGTTATTGAGCACCTATTTTGGAATGGAATTTCGAGACAAGCTCCACAATGCCGAGATTCAAGACAAACTTCGGACTGAGTATTTTGGTTTACATAAAATCTGGAGCTCAGAGCTCAAAACAAGTATCCACCAATACTTTTGCTGTGCCAGTCCTTTCCTATTCCTTTGGAGTAGTTGATTAGACAAAACAAGAGATCCAGAGTCTTGACTGCCTGACCAGAAGGATCATGTCTGATAACAGAGCCCACCAACCTTGTTCCTCACCTAATCGTTTATATATGCCAATCAATTCGGAAGGCTGAGGTTGGATTAAAGGAGAATAAGAACGAAACAAAACTTTTGATATATTGTAAAGGATATTCTAAAAGTCACCTTCCGTGATTAAAATTGAACAAAAAATTGTAAAATAGCAATAAAAACACAATAAAAGTACTCGTATTTCCGCCTATTACGGAAACACCCGACAGTTAATGAGCAGAGGGGTATCACGTGACATGACGTCATATGTGCCTGTTGCTGATGGCTTCTTCTTTGATTTTACCTCACAACTTAACAGTGTCCATGGATTCTGAAGCAGTAAAAGATGTTCCTGATGTCATTTTTGAAATGGATGTTAGACCGTATTAATACGATCCGATTTTACATCTTGCAAGACAATCTTCCAGTGAAGATGAAGAAGAATCAAGCGAAACGGAGGCACCACTTGAGGTCAAAATAAGTTTTAAAATACACCAAGAATACTATTTGTCTGCAAAATGTGAAACAGTTCCAACCAGCAAACCCACCCCTATAAATATATAGTCCCTAAGAATTATATTTTTTGCAATGTGATTGCAGTTCCTTTTGTGTCAAATGGGTGACTGTAGGGTGTCTGAGATTAAAAAACAAAATAATTATGCTTCACACGTGGGAAAATAGAAATTATCTGCTACAAAGATTACACTGGAGATATTTTGCTGAAAAAATTAGGATCTTAGTTCTCATTAATAACGTATCAAGTCTCTATACAAGATCCCAGCCTGGTCAAGCAGAGATAATATTCGCGACGCAGATAACTGGTGAATTATATAATACTAGTCAGGACAATGTATGTTTCCCCAGTGTTTGGTTATGGAAATAGTTATGATACTCGGTCATAGCCTTAGAATGACATCCTGTCAGCCAATGTAAATACAGAACAACTTTCACGGCACACACTACTGACAAAGAGCGAGTCTGATGCCGACGTGCGTAAGTGGACAAAATGGAAAACAATGAAAGCAACAAGTACTTCATGATTTGCCGTTGTATTCGGCAATGTTTTGGGTAGACTGCATAGGCCGTAAATGCATAGTTTGTGTCAACTTTGATATTAAGTTCTTCATATAAAAGTTATTAGGAAGTAGTATTTATGATAAATGTTCCATTAGTGAACTCATAACTATGTATATTTTTTAATATGAAGAACATAATATCAAAGTTGACAAAACTATGCACTTATGGCCTATATTTAATCATTTTAAATAAATTGGGGCATTTTGACTACCCCCCTGGGGCAATTTGACCAAACCTCCGGGGCAATTTGACCAAATTTGCTGGGGCAATTTGTAGCCGGGGCAATTCCACTGGCAATCGAACTTGATTTAATTTATGTTAAAAATACCACTGACAGTAAGTTGTAACAGGGAATTATGGAGTATATTGAATCTCGTGGGTACTTCTTCCTTCTTCAGCCTAGCTTTGGGAGTTTCATACCCAATGTGTGTATGTCTCTTTCATATGCGTCCGACTGGAAATGATCGGAGCATTTCTCCTGCCTAGATCTGTCTCTTTACTTGGAAAACGGAAAAACTTGTGGCTCTTTCCATTGTTCGATGATTCCGTACATCCCCAGGCAACGGAATACACCATCGGACCATTTACAAAAACGACAGAAACAACACGATTTGTGTTACTGTAGCGCTTGTTCTTTGGTAATATGGCGGACGCTAGTCACATATGACGTCACCTTCGGAAAGGTCACGTGAGTTCCAGCGTAATGGCCGAAGCTCAGATAACAGAAACTGTTTTCACGATAAAAACATAATAAACCATATTTTTAAAATAAAAATTTGGTACATGTTTCTGATGACTATATCTTTCACTCAGCAAATTATTGCAAATGTCTAGTATTCTCCTTTAATGTGGATGCTCTTCATGATAGAAGTTTATTGTGTATTTTTGCACATATATATTTATCGGATGATCCTCTGGTGATGCATGTCAAGACTCATGACGAAAGCAAGGACTTCTACAGCTACTTTAAGCGTGCCAAGGTTGAAAGAATTTGAAATTTGAAGTTGATGTACTGCTGGACGGTACAGTTATGGGAGTAAGGCAGGTGAAGTCCTTCACCAAGTCTGCCCAGAGTCGGTCATTTGCGGAGAAGCTTTCTGAGACACCATTGTGTGGAACAGAACAGCAATCCCAACGACTCCTTCGCCTGGATGAAGTCTGCTGATCTTAAATTTGAAACTGAGGGCTTCATTTTAGGTGTTCAGGACCAGTCACTTCCCACTCGCAATCGCCAAAATGTGATTCTTAAACAAAATATCAATATGAAAAGTCGTCTTTGCAATGAATGTACAGACCAACACCTTGTCAGTGGATGACCTTCCGTGGCACAAACAGCATAATATTATCTTAAAAGACATGATGGCATGGCTCGCTGCTTCCACTATCGTCTTCGACATGCCTGTGGCATTAACTCCGAGGTCCATCCATGGTACGACCGTGGACATGTCCAGCGCGTCATGGAAAACTTCTTTGGAATAGCCCCATATGTAGCCCCAGAAGAATACCTGCCTACAAACCTGATCTTGTGCTTTTGGATAAAGGCAATGAATTTATTTATATCATTGAATTTTCTTTTGACAGCAATGTGATTGGCAAGATTCAGGAAAATCATGCTAAGTATGCGGACCTCGTCTCGCTGGCATCCCAAATTTTGAAATTTAGAAATAATTTTTACAAAACACCGTTTCTTTTTGTGGCTGGTATAGCTAAGTCACGAGTAGGAGTCCTGACCCAGTGGAATAAATCATCTATTCATGTGAGTACGGTCATTGGTCGTTCAACGCTGACCCTGTGTTCGTGGGTCTGCGTCACTTCGTCTGACATTAAGCACATCGTTTCCCACAAATATAACACTGTTTCCAACATTAAGCACACGTTGTAACGTAAGTGAAACATTGTTGAAAGTGGAGGTGACTTGGGTTTAATGCCGGTCTGAACAGTATTTCAGTTATATCACGGCGTGGCAGCTTGAAAGTTCAGATCTTGTTCAGTCAATGCAACTTACCCGCCCTCTCACACATAAAACCAAAAAGAAGATTTCTTACAGTTGAGCCTTCCTTGGGGACGGACAGGAGAGAGCTCTCTGGATTTGGGCCTGGTTCACGCCATAGAGACTGAGCCACACAAAACCTCCACCAAACACTATAGACCAGAAGGAGTGTCGAGTTGTAGGGTCGGGGTTAAAGCTGGTGAGATAAAAGTTGTATGACCTGTCACAAGTAATTTTCTAATTTCATAATGCAGTTGCATTTCACAACCTATGGGGCATTGCAACCCTATCTCTCAAAGTTCCATCTTGTTTGTTTGTTGTTTAACTGTAAATAATTCGAGTCTGGACAAGACATTCCAGTGATTAACAGCATAAGCATCGATGTACGCAACTGAGATGCGATTGCATGAGTCAACCAAGTCAGCGGGCTTGACCACCCGATCCCGTTAGTCGCCTCTTATGACAAGCATGGGTTACTGAAGACAAATTCTAACCCAGATCTTCACGGGTCACAGGGGGAAAGTGTTTTAATTTAAAAGTGTAACGTAAACTAAAGACAGTTTAGTCTGATAGTAAACTTGCTCGTGAAAGTTGATCCTAGACCGGTTAGCAGCAATTTCCCAAGCGTTACTGAAGCCGCCCATGAGCATGGAACCTTGGATGAGTACTGCCAGCAAGCCTGCAAGGATCACAACCGCTTGGAAACTGTCAGTCCACAACACAGCCTTCATGCCACCCTGGAGAACAATACCAGTCATCAGTAACCAATAAAGGGGATGTTTAAATGTTGTGGTGTAGATAACGTTTGCAATTAGTTGGCCATGTTTTGTTTGCTTGTTGTTGCACTCAGCAATATTTCAGGTATGTGCTGGCCGTCTGATAATCATCGAGTCCGGACCAGACAATCCAGTGCTCAACGGCATGAGCATGTATCTACATAATTGGGATGCTGTGACGTGTCAACCACGTCAGCGAGCCTAATCAACCAATCCCGTAGTCGCCTCTAACGACAACCATGGGTTGCTAGTAGGCCAGGGTAGGTAATGGTACACTGTTACTTTTGTTTGTTTCCTTGCACGCCTACTTAGCAAGTTTCCAGCTAAAACCCGTTAAGTGTACATTTTGTGAGTGAGTGGGTGAGTGAGTGAGTGAGTGAGTGAGTGAAGCACGGCGGGGGTACACCAGAAATAGACTTCACAAATTTTACCCATGTGGAGAATCAAACCCGGGTCTTCGGCGTGACTCTTAGGCTACCCCAAAGCCCCAGCATGGGAAGTAGTATATTGACGGCCTATATAAGACAATTATGAATGCCATTTCGTTTCAGGGCACTCACTGACACTGTGTATATACGTATTCAAAATCCACAGTACTTGTTTCACATGAGATGCCCAATTTGGGCGTTTACCATCGCAAATTATGACACTTTTGATAGGGAAGCGACAAAACGGAACTTGTAATACATTTGAACCAATACTTGATACATTTAACATGGAAACCTACTGTAACCCCAGTCATCAAAGATTAGCACGTTTGCGTCTAACCATTAATCATAGATATTAATAGGAGCTAAGTACTTGAACAATACTGTTTAAATACGTTGAAAAAGGCTACTTCAAATTATGACTTTACATCATATAAGTTCTTAGCGAAGATTTCATATCCTTTCATGCTTGGCATGTTGAGGTCCGGACACCCTAGACAACTAGACCAGTCATCAATAATTATAACGATATTTACATAACAATGAAAGGCCAGTGTTACGAATGTGCCAATGTTACTTGGTTGGTGGCTGTGCAAGAGATATTTTTCTCCTGGACAAAAAAGATATGTTAACTTGCATTACTTACTAATGCTGTGTAAATGGTTGCTATTGCACCTATGGCAGCGACAGAACCCCAGATGTTAAGTCCTGTTACTGTAAGGAATTTAAAAAAACAAACCACAATGCACTTTTGAATGAAAGACAAATTTTCAGGAATATTTTACGGGCATTCACTATTATGGGGATTGGGGGATTTTAGAAACGATTTTGAAAGTGTTGCAAAGAATACGGATACAGGCGGAAAGTGTTTTACTGATATGAAGAATGATGTAATTTGAACTAAAGACATGGTGTCGATATTGAAACAGTGGCAGGTGTTGCCTGTTTTCATTTTCAGAGAACGATTTAGATGTGGCTGGAATGTGTCTGAGTGAGTCGTTAAACAACGAAAACTAATACTCAGCTTTCAGTGTGGATAGAATAGTAGTCGAGAACTGACACTCACACTAAGGTTTCCGGGTGCCCTGTACCAGGTTAAATGGAAACAATAGAATGCTGAGAAACACGAGTAGCAATAAGTGTTGGTTATGGCAACATGCATCAGCACACCCGTGTGCTTTCGTATATATCATATATTAGGAATAAAAGTGTATTGTGCGACATGTCTACATTTGCATAATTATCGGATTGTGATACCATCCTTGACAATACCCATCACTTAATAAGAATGTTTATCATACAATGGATAGTGTTCTCGGCAGGATAAAGCCAACGGATATTTTCGGTATCCGTTGGGGTCATATACGGATATCGATGCAAATTAGAGAGGTCATATGCAAATTTTAGGGACTACTTTCACAGTGTAAACAAACATGGCGTCAATGGTCAGCGGTCGTGTCCGGATTGACGGCCGTGGTTACGGTACTGTCAGTGCTTTGATCCCAGAAAAATCATGTCTGGTTATGATAGATGGAGTAGATTACAAAGCGAAGATAGAAATTCATAGGTTTACGAAGATACCAACATCGACCGCCTGTCAGTGTTAGCGAGAGAACGGCACTAGGAATCCAGATGCACAATGTCACGAGAACATTAAAGTGTATTTGTTGTTCAAAAGGTTAACTCAAGGTTTCTGAAGTTCCACGCGAGTTTGTTGTTATTTTTCAAACGTAAGCTAAGATTTGTTGACCACAATACGTACTTTAACATAACAACTGACAGGAACTAGATGACGTAACGCAGTCAAATGAGTGATCAGTAGAAAACTGCGTCACCGAGCTTGTGACGTCACGTATTACTACGCACATATTTGTGACGTCATAGATATGTGGACACATTCCACGAAGTTTAGTTTCATGATTTGTGGCAAATGAAATAGCATTTTTAAAAATTATAAAGTAAGAATGACATTGTATGATAAAAAGGCTATCACACTCGTGTGTTTTTGGATGGTTAATATCCTGCATCATGAATAAACACTATGTATTTAGCTCGCCAAGGCTCGCTAAATACAATGTTTATTCCTAATGCAGGATATTAACCATCCAAAAACACACTCGCGTGATAACCTATATTTATCCTCTGACAAATGACCATATCCATTATATGATAATTCGGGTATAGCTAGGACTATTCCTTCCTTACCTGCATTGAATGCAAGGGTTGGGGCGTACAATACAAACGACACGTATATTATCTGAAATGATAAAAATAGATTTATATTTGACTCGCTCCAGGTCTAAACGGGATATTACCTGACTGTGGCTGGCTTAAATGTCCATATCGCCTTCTTGTCAGAATAAAACTTGCCTAACATAATATACTATGAAAACACACAATTGGTAGCATTGGAATATTAGTTTAAACAATCTAATCTATGTACATACATACATAAATGCATGCATGCATGCATGCATGCATACATACATACATACATACATACATACATACATACATACATACATACATACATACATACATACATACATACATACATACATACATACATACATACATACATACATACATACATACATACATACATATGTAAATGAGTATTCAGAACTCACAGTTGGGATTATGAAGATTATCACCGCCATTGTCCGGACAGCTTTGTTGAACCTCATTTCCAGATACTGAAACAAACATCAATAAATCTATTATATGTTTTTACTCAATTAATATACGGTGTGCGAATCATCAGTAAGCAAACTGATACTTTGAATGATTTCATAGGATTCTGAAGGTATTATGAACGCCGAACAACGTACAAGGACTGCCTATGCGTTTGGTTGTTCCTGTCATTGGTATGCACGTGTGTGTATCTGTATGCATGTTTATACATCTGTAGGGGAATTTTATCAATATTTAGTTTGCTGAAACCTAACCTGGAATATACATTGGAAACCGACAATTCATCAATGTTAGTATGCTGATACTTTACCTTGAACAGACTTTTGAAACAGATAATTTATCAATGTTAGTATGCTGATACTCTACTTCAACAGACTTTTGATACAGATAATTTATCAATGTTAGTATGCTGATACTTTACCTTCAACAGACTTTTGATACAGATAATTTATCAATGTTAGTATGCTGATACTTTACCTTCAACAGACTTTTGATACAGATAATTTATCAATGTTAGTACGCTGATACTCTACTTCAACAGACTTTTGATACAGATAATTTATCAATGTTAGTATGCTGATAGTTTACCTTCTTGAATAGACGTTTTGAAACAGACAATTCACTAATGTTAGCATGCTGATACTTTACCTTCAACAGACTTTTGATAAAGACAATTCATCAATGTTAGCATGCTGATACTCTACTTCAACAGACTTTTGATACAGATAATTTATCAATGTTAGTATGCTGATACTTTACCTTCAACAGACTTTTGATACAGATAATTTATCAATGTTAGTATGCTGATACTTTACCTTCAACAGACTTTTGATACAGATAATTTATCAATGTTAGTACGCTGATACTCTACTTCAACAGACTTTTGATACAGATAATTTATCAATGTTAGTATGCTGATAGTTTACCTTCAACAGACTTTTGATAAAGACAATTCATCAATGTTAGTATGCTGATAGTTTACCTTCAACAGACTTTTGATACAGATAAATTATCAATGTTAGTATGCTGATACCCTACTTGAACAGACTTTTGATACAGATAATTCATCAATGTTAGCATGCGGATACTTTTCCTTCAACAGACTTTTGATACAGATAATTTATCAATGTTAGTATGCTGATACTTTACCTTGAATAGACGTTTTGAAACAGACAATTCACCAATGTTAGCATGCTGATACTTTACCTTCAACAGACTTTTGATAGAGATAATTTATCAATGTTAGTATGCTGATACTCTACTTCAACAGACTTTTGATACAGATAATTTATCAATGTTAGTATGCTGATAGTTTACCTTGATTAGACGTTTTGAAACAGACAATTCACTAATGTTAGCATGCTGATACTTTACCTTCAACAGACTTTTGATAAAGACAATTCATCAATGTTAGTATGCTGATAGTTTACCTTCAACAGACTTTTGATACAGATAAATTATCAATGTTAGTATGCTGATACCCTACTTGAACAGACTTTTGATACAGATAATTCATCAATGTTAGCATGCGGATACTTTTCCTTCAACAGACTTTTGATACAGATAATTTATCAATGTTAGTATGCTGATACTTTACCTTGAATAGACGTTTTGAAACAGACAATTCACCAATGTTAGCATGCTGATACTTTACCTTCAACAGACTTTTGATAGAGATAATTTATCAATGTTAGTATGCTGATACTCTACTTCAACAGACTTTTGATACAGATAATTTATCAATGTTAGTATGCTGATAGTTTACCTTGATTAGACGTTTTGAAACAGACAATTCACTAATGTTAGCATGCTGATACTTTACCTTCAACAGACTTTTGATAAAGACAATTCATCAATGTTAGCATGCTGATAGTTTACCTTCAACAGACTTTTGATACAGATAAATTATCAATGTTAGTATGCTGATACCCTACTTGAACAGACTTTTGATACAGATAATTCATCAATGTTAGCATGCTGATACTTTACCTTCAACAGACTTTTGATACAGATAATTTATCAATGTTAGTATGCTGATAGTTTACCTTGAATAGACGTTTTGAAACAGACAATTCACCAATGTTAGCATGCTGATACTTTACCTTCAACAGACTTTTGATAAAGACAATTCATCAATGTTAGTATGCTGATAGTTTACCGTGAATAGACGTTTTGAAACAGACAATTCACCAATGCTAGCATGCTGATACTTTACCTTCAACAGACTTTTGATAAAGACAATTCATCAATGTTAGCATGCTGATACTCTACTAGAACAGACTTTTGATACAGATAATTTATCAATGTTACCATGCTGATACTTTACATAGAATAGACTTTTTGACACAGACAATTCATCAATGTTAGTATGCTGATACTTTACCTTGAACAGACTTTTGATACAGATAATTTATCAATGTTAGTATGCTGAAATCTAGCCTGGAATAGACTTTTGATACTGATATTTTATCAGGATTACTATGCTGAAACAAAACCAGGCAGGCAATTGTCCAGTATTAGTACGTTATATAATCACTAGGCATACACGTTTGCCATAAAGGCATAAACTTCTTAATATCAATATGTTGAAATGTTCCAATAAATTTCCATCCATGTAAACAGAATGCTGAAATATTACCTGGAAGACACTTGTTATCCCCAATTTGTAGAAGAATGGGACAAATAGTACGACTGAGAGCACAATCGCGAATACAAACGATAAACACAGATACCAAAACATTGTCGTGTATCTGTACATCTCGGCCGCCGTTCCCAGGATCGTAATGGCAGATAGAAATGTCACCAGCAGTGACAAGGCGACGGGTATTACATACATCTGCCGTCCCCCAAACAGGTACTCCTTGGAACTTAGTTTCTTGCGGTCTATGATGGCGTACACCAGTCCAATACCTGCAGATATAAATAATGTCAGGCCGAATAGGACATAGTCAACGACAGAAAACGTCTTCGTTTTGCCGGTGAAGATGCTGTAGTCCTCCATGGTGTTAAGACGCCGTACAAGAAGATAACGTGTGTACCGAAGCGGGAGATTTTAACCCAGGTTTCGACGTCCTAGTTACAGCGTCAACTTTGTGAGGAGCACGCTCAGTGTGAGTTACCAGGCCATGGGACTGCAGGAGTAATATCCAGTTACAGCTATACAATGACAGAGGTATGGCTTCTTTTCTTTGGAGCTGCGCTAACCCGTTTGCCGAGTGTATACACCGCAAGTTTGTTGAACCCATTTAATCTGTTGATGGTTATTTAACAGTGCAGATAATGGTTATTTCTAACCATTGCCAGTCAACGCTAATTATCAAATTTAAATGTGTTTAATCACATTTCTTGGAACAACGTCTCTCTAACTTAAACTGTAGATCTGTGTCTTTGATCAGGGAGTAAATAACTGAATGTATTATTGTAGCTAAGAAGCACTTGACCGTAATCCTTATGCTTGACTTAGTTGACAAAAGAATGTGAATATATCGCCATTGGGGTTCGAATCCGCGTTGTCAAGGAGTACTCATTATCTTTTGAAAAAGGGGCATGTAAATTTAAACAAAAACGCCAGAGAATATTCATTCTCGAACATCCAGAAAAACATATTCCATTTTGAGTGAAAAGCAAAACAGTGAACGTGTTTCTTAGCAGAAATTCTGTGGAATTAACCTATTAACAATAAACAATATTATCAAATATTTACAAACATTAAGATAAACAGTTAATCCATTTATTAGAGGAGAAATGTGTTTCATTCTGTATGTCAAGGTCATGGTGTATACAGGTTACTGGTACGATAAACCGTCCATCGGAATAATAACAACTCTCCAAGGCGTAGACACTCCGGGGTCAAGGGTTGAATGACTTTCGCCACTGAAATACTGAATATATCTATAGCATGCATGTTATAGCCCATTGTGTGTACCTTGAGCCTTTGAGACTGCATACTGTAACCATTTATACGAAGGTTACCAGAGCGTAACGAACCCAGCCTAATGTCATCAACGCACGGCATCAAAACTGTGTTATGTTGATCCTTGTATAATTTTTTTCATCATCTTTATGTTCACTGGAGTCTGATCTGGGTGCAGTTGTACGAAACAACCTTAGCGCTACCACTGTCGTAACTCTATATATAAGGCATGGGAGTTACGATCACCTCAGCTTAGCGCTCAGATCGCTTTCTGCAACGGTACCCTGGTAGATAACCGATGTCGACTGTTCTCTGGCGTTGAGGTCATATGCTTACATGCTTGTAGATGTAAAGATGAAAGTTCACGACAGCTATTGCCTTGAGAAATGTTAAAAAGCAACCCCATGCCATAAGCAACACGATTGGTCACAACATGCAGAATGGGCGTGTAGATATAATGTTTATAGTTGTATTAATATTAATAACATTGTTGAGGTTTTACTGGCGATGTTCCGACACTGTCATTTCTTTGGGTACGGTTTAATTCGTCATGGTACATACATAACGCTGTCTTATCGTGTGCTCGCTGAGGTCACGTAGTTGTATATAGATGTAGGTCGAAGATTAGTTATTCAAGTGTAGCCTAGTTCACACTTTATACCCACGTGGGGAATCGAACCCGGATCTTCGGCGTGACGAGCGGACGCCTTAACCGCTAGGCTACGCCAGCGTCCCAAGGGTAGGGGAAGAATAACCGAATTACATAAACGGTACTTGGGTACTCACATTAAGTCAATAATTGATTGACTTACAATAATCGCAGCGTTAAAATTCCTTTGGTATAGTTGGTCTGAGGGCGGTGGGGTAGCCTAGTGGCTAAAGTGTTCGCACGTCACACCGAAGACCCGGGTTCGATTCCCCACATGGGTACAATGTATGAATCCCAGTTCTAGTGTCCTCCGCCGTGATATTGCTGGAATATTGCTAAATGTGGCATAAAACTGAACTCACTCATTAGCTGGTCTGAGGTTTAATCTTGTATGTTTTTAACTATACCTCTCTACATATTTATTAGATAAACTATTCGTACTATATCTTTTCACAGGCGTGAGTACATGAATCACTTATGATACCAGTTTTCGCCTAAACGTCTGCGTATCCTGCACAATGAAGATTACTACACAAACCCGTACAAAGGCAAGGCAAATGTTCATTAAAAACATATATGCTGTCCTGAAACTGATGAAATAGTCTTTAGATATTTCTACGCCAATATGCAACGTAAATTGATGTGCAGAATTGGCAACGGATAACACAAATGGTGACGAGAGGCCAGTGTCCTGACAATATATATGCCAGTTATGAGACTAGTTAGGAACAGCTGATGACACACGAAGGGCCACAGAGGGTCATGTATGTGATACACAAGTGGTCACAGAGGTATCATGTGATACACGATGGGTCACAGATATTGTGTGCTTGATATATTCATAGATGCGTCGTGCATGTGATATACGAAGTGCCACGGACATTGCATTCGTGAGGTATATATGTGTCACGTAGGTGTAATGTACTTGAAACCTAACACCACGTAAAACACATGACATCATGGAATATAACAAAGTTCATATCAGTAAAATCTATCTGGGTGTCAAAGATACTTATAAGGATAGTTAAATGTCTTCAAAGATATGACTGCAGGGGTAAAGCAAAATGTCGAGCTGTAAATTGAAAAAAGTATTTGTTTTGCAATTTTCAATTAAAGTAAAGTCTTAAGGAAGGCACTTCAAATATGCTCTTAATGATATATAATTCAGTCGAATTGCACATTGAATATTTGTGCCTGTGAAGTGAATGTTTTACAGAGGTGATAATAGACGGTTTAATAAAACGTGACTTTTAGTTCAGTTAAATAATTGATAGAAATAAGTTTCGAGCAATAGCACAAACCTACATTTCTCATTTTCAAAATAAATACAAAATACACTTACGAGATGATGCAGCTTATGTTAAAAATACATCATTTGGCTCGTATCCTACTGTATGGTTAAGGACTATACGTACCAGGAAAGTATCCAGTATCCGTGTTACAGATCGTGTAGTATATCTCTATGCGAGATTTTTGCTTTCCAACTTAAATATATATTTTCGTGTATGCATAAGGGTTCCCATTTTTTTTGAGGCAATAAGATTTTTCAGAAAGGTCCAATTCCATTCGTTTATATTCACCAACAACTCCTAGCGTTTGTGAGGAGGTCCAGTGTACTTTGTTAGTGTTTTTGTAATGACACAGGACAAGGGACATGTTCCAGTATTTTCAGGAGCGGGTATTTTCCCCAATACATTCCACCTGAATACACAGTTGGACTGTAACCTGTGGAAGAACGTGATAAACTCGTCAACTACGCAAGATGATGAGACATTCCTTTATGTAACAGCACGTCCCCAGGTGATCAGCATGACTCAAGTGAACGGCCTATTGAAAACAACAACCTCTGTGTTCCTTCTACATTCAACGAGCAATAGTTCCAACACTGATAAACATTATTTGGTTTTGTTCCGTAATTAGTTACAGACTGTGGTGATTAAGTATGACTGAGGCATAAAATAACATTCGCTCACTCGATGTACTATTACCACAAGGAGCTTCCAGGCTGTTACATTAGATGTAAGAATCTGACGAGTTTACCTGACTGATCATGACATTTGGTGGACGGTGTCACAAAAACATAATGAACCTTGTTACAGAGTGGGGGCGATGGGTAGCCTAGAGGTTAAAGTGTTCGCTCATCACTTCGAAGACACGGGTCCGATTCCCCACGTGAAGTCCATTTCTGTTGCCCCAAATGTGATATTGCTGGAATATTGCTAAAAAAGCGGAGAAAAACTAAACTCACTCACTCACTGTTATTCAGAATGAGTGATTTCAGAATTGAAACCAAAACTTTAACCCAGAAACCCCAAAGATCGGGTAATCAGTAAAAAACATATAACATAAATCAATAATCAACACCTTATATTTAAAAACACAGCTTACGGCAAACGCCTATCGTGTGGCACTTATATCTTACATCTTGCCGTCTTGAAACGGTAAGGACACTTTTGATGTTCGATCTCAAGGGAGGTAACTCCACATCTCAAATTATGATCACGAAAGCCCTCGACATTATACGAGCGTTTCATTTCACCGGTATTGATAATAAACTCTACTGTAATATAACATCACGTAATCGCTTATATACTCACCTCTCAAAGAAACGCACACTCAAGTATGGGCGTCGGAAACTGGAGATGCGCCACTGATTGGTTGACTCTGTTAGGTCAGATCAGACGTTAACTATGACATCACATTGACAACCCTTTCTTGGGTAATCCTGTACACTGTGCATTGCGAGCAATGCGACGGTAGGTCGCTGTGTAGTGAACCTTTCGAATCTCTCACGACTGGTGTTGTCTTTCCGTCAGCTCTCATCATGATCAATGGTGGATGATGATCCTCTATGATGATGTAAATATGAAGCGTTCCGTGTCATTCACAGATTTGACGGACATTTCTGTCAATGTTTCACTATTGTGGGTACCCTCGACACACGTCAGTCCATTCGTCGCATTACGAAGGTGTGTACTTTTGTTCGCACATGCTCAGTTTCAGTTTGCTCTTGTCCAAACTATATGAACATTCGGTTCTCAGGTCGAATCAAATAGCTCTGTATGGAGGGTTTTGAGATCCGCCATCCCCTTGTGTATTTGTTGTTCATATATATATATCTTTTAATGGATGTCAGGGAGATCTGAAGGTGCAACTTCATATGTGTAATTACTTTGGAAGAATACACAAATTTCGACGAGTGCTTAGAATGAAACACGGAAATACAGTTATAACATTTAGCATTTGCAATCAGTTATTTTTAAGGTATCAGAGTGAGATGAGTATTGTTTAAGCCGCACCCAGCAATATTCAACCTTACGTCGGTCTGCATATAATCAGGTCCGGACCAGAACATCCAGTGACTGATATTTTTATAAAACAATGTACGCCGTCGGGGAACATTTACATCATGAACCAGGGTCCCGATCCACAAAGCGTTCGTAGCGCTACGACATTCGTAAGCCTATGATGAACTATAGAGTTACGACAGGTCGTAACGTTACGAACGCATTGTGGATCGGGCCACAGGTCTCTGAGTCTGACCGCCTGATCAATAAAGATGGCCCCTACGACCAATATATAGTCTATAACTTCATAGGAAGCATGGCTAATGAGGAATCCTCACAGGTAACGATATGACCTGTGAATACTTACACTAATATGAATATTGCTGCACTGATTTTCTGTATTGTAATGTAACATGTTATGATATATGTGTATGCTGTTTTACGCCAAACCAATATTCCAACTGTATGTTGGGTATCTTTTGATAGTCGAGCTGTGACCAGGGATGACAGTGACTCACGCTATGAACGTGTCACTATAACATCCCACTGTAGAGTCCAATACACCGGGGGCGGTGGGGTAGCCTAGTGGTTAAGGCGTTCGCTCGTCACGCCAAAGACCCGGGTTTGATTCCCCACATGGGTACAATGTGTTAAGCCCATTTCTGGTGTCTCCCGCCGTAATATTGCTGGAATATTGCTAAAAGCGGCGTAAAACCAAACTCACTCACTCACTCCCAATGCACCGAATCATGAAAGGTAACTTGCACAAGTCTTTAAGGTAATGATAAATAGTTTAAATGATTTCTAAAAAATATAAATATTCCTCTAACAGACTGGCGTCCTTACTGTCCGCTAACCTAGACTTGCCTCATTAAAGAATAGAATTACTATACATCCTTGGGCTTAGCATTCAGTACAGCCTTGGAGGAAGGCTAAAGGAAGGGAACAGGTAGATCAACCGTGTGAGCCGCGGAGTAGCCTCCCTTACGTTACCCGATTCACCCTGATAATATTTCTTATAATAATACTGTTTCATATGCGGTGACTCATGCTGGCTCCATTACGCAACAGAGCACGACAAAATTCTGTCTGGTCCATTGGGTTGGAATTCTTTTTCCCCAGACAAAATATGTTATTCAGCCGTTGCTTAAAAGCATACAAATGTAATATTATTCTCTTAAAGGGAGAGTCAAACATCTGTAATGGCATGCCACTGAGTCTCTGGCAACAGTATAACTTGATGGGGTCCTACTCTATCTCGGTACCCAAATGGCGGAACATATGCATGACTCCATCTTATTGGTATGCATATTGTTTTCGTAAATTTGGCAAAGCCAAAAACCAAGCTTGAAGCTATGAAACTAGGTGATAAATGGGCATTTTAAGAACACTTCTACCTTTTAAATTCTACCTTCTACCAATTGCCAACACAATGCAAATCATTTAGTACCTATACTTTGATAAAATAACCAGTACATTATTACATTGAAATAACCCCTAAATAGGTCACACAGACACAGACACACAGACACAGACACACACACACACACACACAGAGACACACACAGACAGACAGACAGACACACACACACACAACTACATGTTTGTGTGTGTGCGGTACTTGTATAATATGAGGCATTATATATAAAATTTTAATTTCAATAATAGAAAATTTAAATTAGTAACAGGACTACAAAAACAACTTTAAAAACATATGCTAGGTACAGAAAAATCAATTTACAAGATAAAACATAGTATAGAAAAATATTTAACAATTGTCCATACTTAGAAAGCCTTCAAATGATACAAAAATCTAAATAAACCTTCAAGAGAAACATGATTTCATAACAACTTTGGTAAACATATATATGGCAATGCATTAATATTTCAGCAGAATACAGCAATAAGAAATGTTTTAAAACGTGCACAAACTCTTGATGGTCTAATTTAGGGCACTATTTTTTAAATAATACAGTATTTAATGTATTTATTCTTACCTTAAATTAGAACGGCAGAATACATGCGATAACTAAATAAAAGCTCTAAGTTGCATCGACTGATTTCGACTATATGATAGCCTTGTGTTGATGAATCACTATCGAATAGTAATGACACCAGGTGCTCGCCAGAAGGTAAGCTTATCCTGCTCCAAGCATGACTTACGTCATAAACGACACAATTGTTAAATAACACACTGTAAATACCTGCAAACTGTTGAATTTGAAATCTAGATACATTTTCATCATAAATATCCATGCTATATGAAATAACTATTGTCTCTTCATAAATATAATCATCTTTGTTCAGTGGTGACAATAATTATTGGCATGAAATTAAATATAAACTTGTTGTTAAGTACCAACGTTAAACTGAAGACAGAAACATGAAACAGTGCTTAGATGTACAACATAAATGTTACAATCCAATAGTGTGTATTTAAAATAGCGAATATCAAGAGGTATAGTGTTCATAAAGATGTTTGTCATTCAGTACAGGCTGCCACCGCAAGAATGTATCCATGGATGTCAAAAATTGGGAATCGGCGTTCACAAAGACCCAAATATTCTGTTTTACAATAAAAATGAAATTTGGATATATTTTTAAAAACAAATTCAAGATACATTCTACAGATGCGTGACAAATTCTTCCGGCGTCGATGTTTCCTCGTCCACCGGATCGAATCCTGGATTGATCGCGCCTACTTCGACGTCAGGGGACGACTTCGTCTCAACGCCATTAACATCGGCGGGCTGAATCTTCTCTGGCAATTCGTCAGCTTGTTCATAAGCCTGTTTTCTGTACTTCTGGAAGTTAAACGAAATGGTTAACTTTGATAACGAGCATAAATCTCGGATGGATAAGTAGCGTCCCTTAGGTTGCCCAGATTCCACCCAGATAACCTTTCAATCATTGGGGCCACTCGGGATGGCACGTTAACGGAGGATCACAATACGGGAAAAGGTTCCCGTCAAGTGGGCTGGAACTTTTAGCTGAGATAAACTATTTTTTTCAATCATTGCTTCAAGTCATACATATTTATTTCTAAAATGGACAACCAGACATTTTGAAAAACACAAGACATGTCAAAAACACTTTGAGGAAGATACTGTTATTTTCTTTAAGAAATTAAACATCTAACGGCTGTGATGTGCAGCGTACATCGTAAACGGTTCACAGTTGTTTCGGCATTTTTAGGACAATTCATGCAGCCTCTCCTATCCATGTCAGTGATGCTGAAGTGGGATGCTACTCCATCTTCAACTGTACACATACAATTTCAGCTTATCAAAGGTAAAATCTGGTCAGCCATTGAGGTCACACGCTGGTCTTTTCAAGCCTTGCATACGCCTTCTCGTGGAGACTGTTAAGGACGAGAACCTGTTCTACTGGGGTTAGTGTGTCAATGTGAATACGATAAATTTATCCCGAGGTCCCGGTAGGGTCGTATTAAGTTACATGTATGTGTGACATACCCGTTGTGGTTGACTCCACATCTGAGAGGTCTGAGTATCATCTCCGGCATGCAGGGGAAGAGGCGGTCAAACAGGGGGCAGATAAGGCGAGGGTCAATACTGTCCGGGCGTCGCAAACCTTAAACATTGGGAATAGTGATAAACGTTTGATGAATTCTGTTCTGGATTTAGCTACACCATATGAAGAAAGACTGTCCTTTCTGTTTATCCCAAGAAAAGTATTTTACTGAAAATGAATATCATGTACTTCTAATCCGTGAGGTTTATAGTTTTTTTCCGTAATACACTTATTGGTAAATATACTACCCATCAAAAGTTTAGACTCGCTTAAATCAATCACTATTAGTTATGTATGTACATATGGTTACAACGAAGATGAATTTCTCCACTAACTTGGTGAAAATATCTGCAAACCTTATGCAGATTAATTGCACGAGGATCATGCATCAAATTGCTGAAAAGCATGTGCAAATATCGTGCATGTGAACAGCTGCGTTTTGGGGCAAAGTTTTGATAAAAAAATCGCCATTTTTCACCGGGTTTCATCATTTATTGAACGCATGACAGTAAACATTTCAAAGTCACGAATTTGTTTTTCAATACATCAGCTCATGTATAAACAGTACCTATAAACTGTATGGATTATTTTACAAAATCTAATTCGGAACAGTTGATTGAAGTAAGTGGCTACATTTACACTAGTGAGTCTAATCTTTTGATGGGGAGTATACATCAATACTACCTCTCAACATAACTTTATTTCTATAATCACTTCTCATAATTATGATATTTTGCATAACACTTCAATCTTTTTATTTAAAGCACAACAAATAAGGCAAAGTAATATATAATATATTATATTCATATCATGCATTTGTACTATTTTATGCTATGGAATGTCTGTAAATATGTATTATGCGCAGGGATATTTTGTAACCCTATATTGTCTGTATTTTGGGCCAAAGGCCTTATACTGAATAAATAAATCTGTCTGTCTGTCTGTCTGTCTGTCTGAATTCTGTTTACTATAAGACTCGCATCCATTGTGAAACAATAAATAAGGAAACCATGGAGAGATATTATATCGCTATCATATAGCTATTATTTAGGGTCGGTTATCTTCTGTATAATTATTCACGAATATGTGCATTTTCCCTGATTGCATTCATATATTGCAATGTTTCTTAAAATCTGTCATCTAATTTTCGTAATGATATAGACATGTTCTAAGTACATTAATTACTGCAAATATCGACATCTTTACAATGATTATATTTATTTATATAATATATATTAATTATGGTTTCAGTAGCAGACCAGTGATGAGGCTGACGAACATTCCCACAATGACGAGCACTGCCATCGCCGTCGGCGTGTAGAAGAGATAGGACAGCTTGTACATCGGTATGAACGGATCACTGGAAGTAGGAATACATCAGTATGAACGGATCACTAGAAGTAGGAATACATCGGTATGAACGGATCACTAGAAGTAGGAATACATCAGTATGAACGGATCACTAGAAGTAGGAATACATCGGTATGAACGGATCACTAGAAGTAGGAATACATCAGTATGAACGGATCACTAGAAGTAGGAATACATCGGTATGAACGGATCACTAGAAGTAGGAATACATCAGTATGAACGGATCACTAGAAGTAGGAATACATCGGTATGAACGGATCACTAGAAGTAGGAATACATCAGTATGAACGGATCACTAGAAGTAGGAATACATCGGTATGAACGGATCACTAGAAGTAGGAATACATCGGTATGAACGGATCACTGGAAGTAGGAACATATGGGTGTGAGCGGATCGCTAGAAGCAGGAATATATGGGTGTGAGCGGATTGCATAGGAACAAATTAGGAATGCATGTATATCGGCAAGACCAAGGAATACATGTATATGGGTGTGAACAGACGCATGGAGAGTAGGAATACATGTACATGGGTGTGAACAGACACATGGAGAGTAGGAATACATGTACATGGATGTGAACAGACACGTGGAGAGTAGGAATACATGTACATGGGTGTGAACAGACACACGGGGAGTAGGAATACATGTACATGGATGTGAACAGACACATGGAGAGTAGGAATACATGTACATGGGTGTGGACAGACACACGGAGAGTAGGAATACATGTACATGGGTGTGAACAGACGCACGGAGAGTAGGAATACATGTACATGGGTGTAAACAGACGCACGGAGAGTAGGAATACATGTACATGGGTGTGAACAGACACACGGAGAGTAGGAATACATGTACATGGGTGTGAACAGACGCACGTAGAGTAGGAATACATGTACATTGGTGTGGACAAACACATGGAGAGTAGGAATACATGTACATGGATGTGAACAGACGCACGGAGAGTAGGAATACATGTACATGGGTGTAAACAGACGCACGGAGAGTAGGAATACATGTACATAGGTGTGAACAGACGCACGGAGAGTAGGAATACATGTACATGGGTGTGAACAGACGCACGGAGAGTAGGAATACATGTACATTGGTGTGAACAGACACACGGAGAGTAGGAATACATGTACATGGGTGTGGACAAACACATGGAGAGTAGGAATACATGCATGTTTGAATCTGTGGGTGAAATAATTATGAATTAACAAGTTATTTATCATACCTTTTACACTTTATTCAGTTGATATACATAACATCTTACATATAAGATGCCCTAAAATAATACAGTAAAATGTACATGGTCCTCCTTAACTCCTGAAACTTAACTGTACATGATGCACCATAACTGGGTGATGTCGGAATACATGTACATGGGTGTAAACAGACGCACGGAGAGTAGGAATACATGTACATTGGTGTGAACAGACACACGGAGAGTAGGAATACATGTACATGGGTGTGAACAGACACACGGAGAGTAGGAATACATGTACATGAATGTGGACAGACGCACGGAGAGTAGGAATACATGTACATGGGTGTGAACAGACACACGGAGAGTAGGAATACATGTACATTAATGTGGACAGACGCACGGAGAGTAGGAATACATGTACATGGGTGTGAACAGACACACGGAGAGTAGGAATACATGTATATGGGTGAACAGAACAGACACATGTACATGGGTGGAGAGTAGGAAGGAATACATGTACATGGGTGTAAACAGACACATGGAGAGTAGGAATACATGTACATGGATGCGAACAGACACACGGAGAGTAGGAATACATGTACATGAGTGTGAACAGACGCATGGAGAGTAGGAATACATGTACATGGATGTGGACAGACACATGGAGAGTAGGAATACATGTACATGGATGTGGACAAACAGATGGCGAGTAGGAATACATGTACATGGATGTGGACAGACACACGGAGATAGGGTACATGGGTGGACAGACACATGGCGAGTAGGAATACATGTACATGGGTGTGTGAACAGAGTAGGAATACATGTACATGGATGTGGACAGACACACAGTAGGAATACATGTACATGGGTGTGGACAGACACATGGCAAGTAGGAATACATGTACATGGTTGTGGACAGACACACGGAGAGTAGGAATACATGTACATTGGTGTGAACAGACACACGGAGAGTAGGAATACATGTACATGGGTGTGAACAGACACACGGAGAGTAGGAATACATGTACATGGGTGTGAACAGACGCACGGAGAGTAGGAATACATGTACATGGGTGTGAACAGACGCACGGAGAGTAGGAACACATCTACATGGATTTTAAGAGGCACGTGGGAAGTAGGAATACATGTACATTGATGTGAACAGACGCACGGAGAGTAGGAATACATGTACATGGGTGTAAACAGACGCACGGAGAGTAGGAATACATGTACATAGGTGTGAACAGACGCACCGAGTAGGAATACATGTACATGTGGGTGTGAACAGACGCACATAGGAATACATGTACATTGGTGTGAACAGACACACGGAGAGTAGGAATCCATGTACATGGGTGTGGACAAACACATGGAGAGTAGGAATACATGCATGTTTGAATCTGTGGGTGAAATAATTATGAATTAACAAGTTATTTATCATACTTTGTACACTTTATTCAGTTGATATACATAACATCTTACATATAAGATGCCCTAAAATAATACAGTAAAATGTACATGGTCCTCCTTAACTCCTGAAACTTAACTGTACATGATGCACCATAACTGGGTGATGTCGGAATACATGTACATGGGTGTAAACAGATGCACGGAGAGTAGGAATACATGTACATGGGTGTGAACAGACACGGAGAGTAGGAATACATGTACATGAATGTGGACAGACGCACGGAGAGTAGGAATACATGTACATGGGTGTGAACAGACACACGGAGAGTAGGAATACATGTACATGAATGTGGACAGACGCACGGAGAGTAGGAATACATGTACATGGGTGTGAACAGACACACGGAGAGTAGGAATACATGTATATGGGTGTGAACAGACACATGGAGAGTAGGAATACATGTACATGGGTGTGAACAGACACACGGAGAGTAGGAATACATGTACATGGATGTAAACCGACACATGGAGAGTAGGAACAGACACACAGACACACGGATAGTAGGAATACATGTACATGAGTGTGAACAGACGCATGGAGAGTAGGAATACATGTACATGGATGTGGACAGACACATGGAGAGTAGGAATACATGTACATGGATGTGGACAAACAGATGGCGAGTAGGAATACATGTACATGGATGTGGACAGACACACGGAGAGTAGGAATACATGTACATGGGTGTGGACAGACACATGGCGAGTAGGAATACATGTACATGGGTGTGAACAGACGCACGGAGAGTAGGAATACATGTACATGGATGTGGACAGACACAGAGGAATACATGTACATGGTTGTGGACAGACACACGGAGAGTAGGAATACATGTACATGGGTGTGAACAGACGCACGGAGAGTAGGAATACATGTACATGGGTGTGAACAGACGCACGCAGAGTAGGAATACATGTACATGGGTGTGAACAGACGCACGGAGAGTAGGAACACATCTACATGGATTTTAAGAGGCACGTGGGAAGTAGGAATACATGTACATTGATGTGAACAGACATATGGAGAGTAGGAATACATGTCATTTTCTCACTTCGTATGGAATCTAAAGAAACATCTGATGTACATCTACTAAACACAGCCCTACTGCTCACGACTTGTACATTGTAAATTATCTATTAATGAGCAGTCCAACATATGCTTCCATTTTGCTACAAATGTTGTTTCATTTTGTTTATTGCAAGTGATGCATTGTAAATAGTGTATTTTCCTTTGTATGATCTTCGGATTAAACTCTGGAGCAAAAAAGACATGCATTCCTTCTTTCCTTCCTTCATTCCATTCTCTGTGAATGAATGAGTTTGATTCTGGCTCACATGAGAACAGTTACGAATTACAAACCGATCCTATACTGTATACCTTGACGCCGCAACCGTTGTCATCTCGGTGGAGCCTGTAAACGGCGTTGCAGTCCCTAGCGTTGTCGTGACAGTCATTGCTGTCGTTGTGACGGACCAGTTGCAGCCGTGAGTAAAGACAGGAGAAGGTTTGGCCGTGGAAACCTTGTTCGCGAATGCACCGAATCCGATCCAGCACATGAAGGCTAAGGAGGTCACAGCACCAACAAATGCTCCCTAAAATATGGCAATTGTAAACTTGCATACATATAGTGCTTTCCACACTTACTACATATGTGTCTATATTCATATAATTAATATTAAGCGTTGTGTTAAAGAGATAAAAAGGGCATTCCTATGAAATTATGAGTTGCATCAATGAAAAAAGAAACTTAAAAATTAAGATAATTAACACCACACCTCATTCGTTTACAACAGATAGTGCAAAGAACGTTATATTTCAAACCTCATCAAGTGTTGCAGCAATGTAAAACGATTTTACATAAACTTTATTACAAGGTCGATCGTGATTAGCATGTTTAAGTCATTCTACATATAGAAAATGAATGTTAGATTTGACGAGGTGTACTTTTTGTTGTTGTGGGTGAGATTATGTGTGCATTGTGCCAATGTCTTTCATGTCAAGGGGCACCAGTATCAAAACTCCATTGACATTTGAATTTGAAAAGCCCAATTTACACATATAACGTTTCAACATAGAACTGTGTACGACAGGTACTTAGCATGTCATGCATATGGAGTGTTGGGTGTAGGGTGTTGGAATACTTACCCATGCGTTTGCCCAGGGGAAGAACATGCCAAGAATAAACAACCCGAACAACGGGCCATTGATGACACTGTACACGCTGTAGGAAGCCTTAGCATAAACAAGTACATATATAGGAATTGGATACATGATGCGGGCTTGGACATAATGTTTTAACGAACATTCGTCACTGATACTTACTTCAAAACTATTTAATCTAAAAAGGGTACCAATTGCCTTACGCCACTTCAACAGCCTTGAAGCCAATTACGGCAATGTAATATCACATAGATAAGGCCATGTATGTAAATTAATTTTACTGTTTCACTATTTTAATAATAAGAGATATTTTAACGAACAGGTGTAAATATGAGAAATTTGTGTAGACGTATGCGTCAGCTGTTAATATACTTCCTTATGGGTGTGAGTGAGTGAGTAAGACTTAACGTCGCTTTAAGCAATATTCCAGCAATGTCACCGTGGGGGACACCAGAAATAGGCTTCACACATTATGCCCATGTGGGGAATCTACCCCAGCGCCCATGTCTTTTGAAACGTGGGTTATGTTAGTACATCTGCACCACCCTTTCGTCAACCTTCGTTAATATTACGTTTTGCACAACAGTTTGTGACATTTCATTGTCATCGTGACTAGACTTTATGATGATAACAGTGAGAGGTCATAAACGAAGTGGCTGAACAGTGACATACATTAGAACCACATGTAACGAGGGTGTTTCTATCCCTGTGCTTCCATTCATTGGTGTGCCTGTCCAGATGAACATAGAATATTGATGACGAAGGCATCAGACAACATTAACATGATTCATATCATATCTGAGCCGGTACTCAGCTTCAACTTCGGTACTCTAAAATATTCGGATAGCCGTTACAATCGGCAGTCTTAATTCGTGAACATACCTGCAGCACAGACCCAAGTTGAGACACAAGGACAGCAAGGCCGATGGCAACTCCCCCGAAAATGACAACTACAAACGAAATTAGATAGTGTACATTGTACATGAAAAAACCATGAGGTAATTTATGTCATTTCCTATATCACAAGCATAAAACTACCAGCCTAATTCGAATGGCACTAATATTATGGACCGAGAAAAGCTAATAGCATCCTTACAAAACTACGTTACATGTGTAGTCAATTGAATTATGATCTATTCCGTGTTAGTATAAAAGAAAACCAAAGTTGTCCTTGTGGAAATGATTGTGAAAATTCTTATCATTACCAATTAGGTGTCAATTATATACTGTACAGAGAACTGCCATGATGTCTAATTTACCCAGTGTTACCAATATAAACTATGAGTTGCTATTACATGGCAATGCAGATCTGACTCCGCATAAATGAAAACATATTTAAAAGTGTTCAAACATATATTTGTCAATCAAAATAAATAATTTTTAATTATTGCCATTGTTCCATGACACTTCATTGTCAGTGACAGGGTAAGGCATTACATGTACACCGCTTAAAAAGCATTAGTTCCATCATCGAGGGATACCAGAAAATGGCATCGAATAGAATACACGTAAAGGGATTAGAACCCGGTCGGCGTGGCGTGCTAACACTTTACCCACTAATGATTATGACTTGGCCTGATGATTATGATTCATCAGATTAATTATAAAGTTGTGTAAGCTCATCGGAAACGCAGATGGGAGATGATTTCTTATATACGAATTACTATGATATAGAGATGGATCTACGCAGTTTAAGAACAACAAAGAGAGGCAAATTCGTAGGCGTCTTGGTGATTAGAGTAATATGTATAAACAGCGTTTACTGTTGCGCAGACCCGTGAAGATCCGGGCTAGAATAGGTCTTCAGCAACCCATGCTTGCCACAAAAGGCGACTATGCTTGTCGTAAGAGGCGACTTACGGGATCGGGTGGTCAGGCTCACTGACTTGGTTGACACATGTCATTGGTTCCCAATTGCGCAGATCGATGCTCATGCTGTTGATTACTGGATTGTCTGGTCCAGACTCGATTATTTACAGACCGCCGCCATATAGCTGGAATAGTGCTGAGTGCTGCGTAAAACTAAACTCACTCACTCACTCACTGTTGCGCAAGAACGTCAAAGGCATTTCAATGGGTGTTTTTCAACCGGTTATTGAGATTTGAAACTGGGTCACTGTATATGATCGAAAGCCGTAGGCATAACACACTGACGCACAACCATGCTAAATGAACACACGGGAAAAGGCTTTAAAATGCATGCTTTTTCTCCGGAGTCGGGCAGATAACGTTTTCATGCTTGCTTGCTTGCTTGCAAACTTCCACTTACTAATATTCTAGTAGGTCTCTATAGATGTCAATGCAGCCTTCTATAACTCTAAAATTAAACTGCTTGGGTGGATCGTGTGAACAACAAAACGCTGCTCCTCAGTTTAGTTGAATAATACAATAATATTTTATGTGAAATAACCTCACGTCTTGTCGGGTTCTGAATTGCTCTGATCCCACTTCGAATCTGGTGACGTTCACCCTATGTGTGACTTACAAATATTTCACCGCATATGCATTTTGCCCGTATTGATACAAAGGTTACATATGTAAGTTCGCATACACCCTCGACCTCCAGTCTCGTTCTGTACAAGCCAGTTTGTCTCGTAAAATCCGGTTCAGCCAGCTGCTGACACATTTAATTCATGGAAAACCTTAACTGGCAGAGGCAATCGTCAGTGGGCTGGGTGAAATATATGATTCACATCAGAGGAATGCCAGTTAAAGCACGCCGTTGAAGTTGATCTTGCAAGATGTTAAACCTTAACTGTAGGTACTTATCGCAGTTATAAGATGTAGGTGCATCTCAAATGCATAAGGATGTTCCTGTATATCATGACTACATCATGACTACATGCGTCAAATAAGGACAGACCCGTGAAGATCCGGGGTAGAATAGGTCTTCAGCAACCCATGCTTGTCACGAAAGGCGACTATGCTTGTCGTAAGAGGCGACTAACGGGATCGGGTGGTCAGGCTCGCTGACTTGGTTGACATGTGTCATCGGTTGCCAGTTACGCAGATCGATGCTCATGATGTTGATCACTGGATTGTCTGGTCCAGACTCGATTATTTACAGACCGCCGCCATATAGCTGGACTAGTGCTGAGTGCGGCGTAAAACTAAATTCACTCACTCACTCAAATAAGGATATATAAGAATTTCTCTCCTTACCTATCACCTTCGAAAGAATTGTCATGGACCTGTCAGAAAGGTTCGGACAGAAGTAGGGTTTGATGAGGTCGCAAGGGATGACAGCTCCAAGGGCATTCAGGGATGAGGATAGGGTGCTGAGGAAGGGAAGAGCAATATGGCTTATGCAGAAACTGTACAATATTAATGTGTGTTTTGAACATTCAAATCAAATCTGATTGTTCGTTGTCAGAGTGTGAGACGCTGGTGTGATATTTCTCCGTTGAGTGAATGTCATCTACATGACGTACTTTAGTGGGCATGGATTGGTAGGGCCAACGATACAAATTAGGTACTATTAGCTGGCTAACATTACCATGACCAGAAGCATAGGGTCACGAAGGGGTCAGCTGCATTAGTTACCATTAGACGATGGCTAGTTGGTCATCGAAGCATGTCAGTTGGGATGTGTGCATTTTCTTGATCAGACAAAGGGTTAACATGGCACGAAGTAGTTTGACGTTTATTTGCCTTTGGTAGTATCTCTTGAGTCAGCTGACCCAAGGAACATACATTTGTAAATGGGTTCACATATAACTGAGGATAGACGTATATGTGTACCACATTGTCTGTTACACGTCCAGGCACTCTAAAAAAACTTGACATAACATCCAAACTTTCTGCTATAACATAAACGCATCCTCTCACAACATCCACATCCACACCAACATCCACACGTCTTGACACAACATTAACACATCCTGACATAACATCCACACGTCCTGACAGAACATCCACACATCCTGACACAACATCCACACATCCTGACAAAACACCAGACAAACAAGGGAATGCTATCCATTGGCAACATTATCAGCAATGCCCCTTCAGTCTTCCCACTCGCCTCAGACTCGCCTCAGACGTCGCAGGTATACGTGTTCCAATAATTTTCCTTTCATCTCATTCTTAGCTTTTGTTGTCTGCAGTGCATTTCAGGGACTCACTACTTGCCTTCAGTGATCGACATATCGGCGGCTTTCGCGAATACAGTGATTTCCGATTGTGCAAAAAGAATGTTTAATGGTCTAGTGAAACATATATTTATATCGCACATTCTATACACAGGAACAATAAACGTTAATATCACATACCACTTCTCTGTGGTTATTTTTCTAAATCGACTTTCGACGTTTGTACAGTATTTCCAGCAAAGGGTGTCACCTTGATGTTTGAGGAAAACCTTATGTGATTCAGGTTTTACACTTGTTCCTGCTTGGTGACAAACTAGTCTGGTAATGTGTAACTAAATAAATTACATAGTTAAGGCGAATCCCCTATCACCGGTTTCTTGCACTTCTCAGAGACTCAACATTGCAGAGCGATTGAATCACCAATGATTATATCCCATGGTGCAATGCCGAAATCAGAATACAACGAATTACCTCAAACTTCCGCTGAAGATACATGACACAAACACTCCTGGTATTCCGGGAATATGGCCTAAGATATCCATCACATACAAGGGCAGGAGCTGAATATGCAAATAAAACAATAAGAAGGAAAAGTTAAATCAGAATGTAACAATTTTATTTTAATATTTTGCTATGATATTTTCCTGTAACACTGTTTATTTTAATAAAATGGAGCCTCAGTGTGTCCTGAACATAATATACACTATGACTTTCAATTCATGGCGTACCCGTGGAATGTGTTTTGTTGGGAGCATACACTCTCATGTAACCTTTTAACAATCTATCTTGGTCAAACTTGGCATGTAGCACTGCTTCAAAGTACTAATACTGGTATGAATGACTCCAACGACATGATTGTATGACCTGCCAAACTGAATAATATGCTGGAGTTCACGTTCAACCGTATTCAATCATAATCGTGGACAAAGGCTCTTAAGCTAAGCCTCAAATCTAAAGGCTCATCGGACCGTGGCGTTGGCAAAACTGTAAGTGGGTTCTGAATATGCTATTACCGGTTTAATATTCACTGTACCGTTTGACTGGGAGTATCGAAACGAAAACAGGTACACCTTGAAAACCTCTTTCAGATATAGTCATGGAACTTCGAATTCTTTTGTCGTTGACTGGGAGTATTCAACACATCTGCCCCATGAACTTCTATCAGACATTCACATGAACATCGAATACTTTTGTCTGTTGACGATTTCAAAGCTTGTTGTTTTCTCAGGTATCTTACTGCGTACATTTGCTCTATTTATTAACTTGAAAATAGCAGGCCAATGACATATATAGGTTTTATATGCAACCGGATCTCGTTTTGCCCTAATTGTGGATGAAAAACTGAAGTTTGGATGTAGTGGTAACCAACAATTTGACATATTTCTACAGCGATGGGGTTACGATTTGACATCATTTGTGCATGGAGATGCAGGGCTGACATGTTACAAGTGGGTGAAGTCTTGGGCAGCATGATAACATAGAGTTAATATATGATCAGCGTTTGGGGATGTAGAGTTGACATATTGCTAGAACATTGGGTTCGATTTCCTATGGATGTGGAGAGGGTGTTGTCGCTTCTATTAAGTACTCAAATATATCCAGCCAGTAGAGATAAAGAGCTCAAGATGTCACGTTGACATATTGCCAGTAAGTCCAGATGAAGAGTTGCAACATTATTAATATGTCAAGATGTCACGTTGACATATTACCAGTAAGTTCAGAAAAAGAGCTGCAACATCACTAGTAAGTCAAGATGTCAAGTCGACATGTTACCAGTAAGTCCATATAAAGAGCTGCAATATCACTAGTAAGTCAAGATGTCAAGTTGACATATTACCAGTAAGTCCATATAAAGAGCTGCAATATCACTAGTAAGTCAAGATGTCAAGTTGACATATTACCAGTAAGTCCATATAAAGAGCTGCAATATCACTAGTAAGTCAAGATGTCAAGTTGACATATTACCAGTAAGCCCATATAAAGAGCTGCAATATCACTAGTAAGTCAAGATGTCAAGTTGACATATTAGCAGTAAGTCCAGATAAAGAGCTGCATCATCACTAGTAAGTCAAGATGTCAAGTTGACATATTAGCAGTAAGTCCAGATAAAGAGCTGCAATATCACTAGTAAGTCAAGATGTCAAGTTGACATATGACCAGTCAGACGAGATAAACCTGATATATCACTGTTTTTTCGAGAGATGTATATTTATAACTGTGCAGTTGCCAAGTTACCAGTATGTCTAGACAAAAGCCTAACATGATACCCGTATGTCGAGGTAAAGAGCTCACATATCACTTGTGTGGAGAAACAAGAGCTTCCACATCCCTTTTGTGTGATGGCAATGATCCGTGTTCATTTTCCCCTTTCTGTTTGATTTCACTGTTTGATAAAATGTGTTCTTTTCCTACCTGGTCTGTTTTGCTGATAAGGTTGTTGAACTTGATGGGGTGACAGTCGGCGTAGAAGGCGTACATGACGATGCCGATCATGCAGCAAAGGCTGACGATGAGGATGAGGCCAGGCAGGTTTACGAGGAGTGTCCTTAAAAATCAAATCAGAAACATGATCACATACACTGACACAAACACAGAGAGAGAGAGAGAGAGAGAGAGAGAGAGAGAGAGAGAGAGAGAGAGAGAGAGAGAGAGAGAGAGAGAGAGAGAGAGAGAGAGAGAGAGAGAGAGAGAGAGACAGACAGACAGACAGACAGACAGACAGACAGAGAGAGAGAGAGAGAGAGAGGGAGAGAGGGAGAGAGAGGCACACACACATGCACCCAAACCCAACCGAAACCTACGCTCACCTCACTCACTCACGCACGCACGCACGCACGCACGCACGCACGCACGCACGCACGCACGCACGCACACACACACATACATACATACATACATACATACATTTTACATGATTCAGTGTCATAACGTGGGTGTTATTGTTGCTTGATCGTTTGTAGATGAACTTTAGAGTTAAAATATTGTTTCCAAAGGACACCAGGTCAAATATAATCTGTAGCTGCACTTGTGCTAAAATTTCAGAAGCGTTTAGGCTGAGCGTGCTCTTTCTACCAGGAAGTGCTAAAGTTGTGTTATCTAAGTTCCAACATTGAAGAACTTTGTAAAGATTTGAATACTTTGTAGAAATTTCAAAATTTTACTTCCAATTTTTCTTAGTCAATTGACATGCCTTTGGGTGTGTTTGTAACGAGAGACACTCATATGGTAGGATACGCTCACCTATTCTTGAACACCTAGTATTATCATTATTTCATAGTAATGCACACCAAAGGCGCATGATTTAGTCGAGTTTTATTCGAGATTTCTGATGTGATTGAAATGGTTTTGTACATTTATTGCAATAACACAAGGTTCATTCCATGTAAGTTCATTTTCATTTTCTCCATGGTGTGTAGATATGACATATAGAAGCATTGAAGTACATTGTGTGTAACGTCATACTCACAGTCTGGCTTTAGATATAGATGGACAAGACATTGTTCTCTGGACCTGAGCCTGGTTAACTCCGTACAGTGACGTCCAGAAGAAGGCTCCTCCAACTACAATCGACCAGAAGGAGTGGCGGGTAGTGGGGTCAAAGCTGAAGCTGAAACAAAGACCATAAACACGGTGATGTGGAGCTCCGGGTAATTATCGCAACAAGTGCTTGTCGTCATGGGATAATTGATACCGTCCAATCAACCATACGTACTCGTGGAAGTAGATCCTTGATCTGTTCCCGGCGATGTCCCAGGCGTTCTGGAAGCCACCCATGACGATGGAACCCTGGATGAGAACCGCCAACAGCCCTGCCAAAATGACAAAAGCCTGGAAGGTGTCAGTCCACAACACAGCCTTCATTCCCCCCTGGAACACAGAAATGGTAGACGGTATGGATACAGAGCTGTAGCAGGCGTTTAGGGATATCAACAAAAACAGTTACAACAAATATTTCTACTAAAACTTCCACTGCTAACACTACTACTACTATTACTACTATTACTACTACTACTACTACTACTACTACTACTACTACTACTACTACTACTACTACTACTACTACTACTACTACTACTACTACTACTACTACTACTACTACTACTACTCCTACTCCTACTGCTACTACTACTACTGCTACTGCTACTACTACTACTACACTATTACTACTACTACTACTGCTGCTACTACTACTACTATTACTACTACTACTACTAGTACTACTGCTACTACTACTACTGCTGCTACTACTACTACTACTACTACTACTGCTACTACTACTACTACTACTGCTACTACTACTACTACTACTACTACTACTGCTACTGCTACTACTACTACTACTACTACACTACCGCTGCTACTCTACTACTACTACTACTACTACCACTGCTACTGCTACTACCACTACTACTGCTGCTACTACTACTACTACTACTACTACTACTACTACTACTACTGCTACTACTACTACTACTGCTACTACTACTACTACTGCTACTGCTACTGCTACTGCTACTACTACTACTACTACTACTACTACTACTACTACTGCTACTACTACTACTACTACTACTACTACTACTACTACCACTACTACTACTACTACTACTACTACTACTGCTACTGCTACTACTAGTACTACTACTACTACTACTACTACTACTACTACTACTACTACTACTACTACTGCTACTGCTACTACTAGTACTACTACTACTACTACTTCTACTATTACTACTACTACTACTACTATGACATCCATATTAATATTATTATTCTTGTTTTGTTTGTTATTGTTTAACGCAGCACTCAGCAATTTTCACAAATTATATGGCGGCGGTCTGGACCAGAAATCAAGTGATCAACAGCATGAGCATCTATCTACGCAATTGGAATGCGGTGACATTTTTCAACCATGTCCAGGTTTCAACCTGACCACCCGATCTCATTAGACGCCTCTGACTACAAGCATAGGTTGTGAAGACCAATTCTAACCCGGATCTTCACGTGTGAAGTATGCACAAAGCGTTACTTTATCACAGTGGTTCACAAATCAGTGTGAGTAGCCTTGAGAGGAGCTAGAAATGTTAGCCATGTTATTGCATCTCATAAAGACATTTTGTTTATGTCTAAAGCAGGACGGAAGTCCTTAACACTCTCAGGACGTGAGCTGATAACCATCCGTATGTGCTCGGCAATCACAGTTTATGAATAGAAACCAGGGTCCCGATCCACAAAACGTTCGTAGCGCTACGACATTTGTAAGCCTACGATACACTATAGCGTTACGACAGGTCGTAAAGTTACGAACGCTCTGTGGATCGGGACCCATATTTGTTGGCGTTATGTGTAAACTCACGGTTTTCTCAACGGCTCTTTCTCCCCGATTAAGACCCAAGTCTTAACACATTTACAACAAACTGAAACCTTTCTGGTCGTATCATAGAGGGCCAGGCTGTTTAAGGATTGCTGTTGTTATGATACACAGATTACAATTTTAGTCATGGATACCATAATGATTACACTACATGCGTCACCGTAGTATTGAGCTGTCAACAGGTTGTAAAACGCAAACAAAACGTGACTTACCAGAGCTGTATACAGTGTCACAATGATTCCAACAGCAATCAGAGATCCCCATAGATCAAGTCCAGTCACTTAAAGAAAACCAACACAGAATCTATATATATTCTCAAACGGGTCAATGAACGGTTAAATAAATCCACAAGCAGGGAGAAATAAATCGTATGTTATTAGCAAATGTTGTTCCAAAGAACTGATGTAGATTGTTTATTCAGTTCACTTAATATTTTCATTCATTAGTGAACAATACTGTGGTAAATTAACAAACAGAAGCCATCTTTTCTCCAAAAAATGATCTTATAAACTTTCTACGCGTAAGTTTACATTTTGCACTTTAAATATGAGAGAGTGAGTTAAGTTTTACGCCACACTCAGCAATATTCCAGCTCTATGGCGGCGGTCAGTAAATAATCAAGTCTGGACCAGACAATCCATGGATCAACAGCATGAACATTGATCTACACAATTGGGATACGATGGCATGTGTCAACCCAGTCAGCGAGCCTGACCACCTGATCCCGTCAGTCGCCTTTTACGACAAGCATGGGTTGCTGAAGATCAATTCTAACCCGGATCTTCACGGGTATACACTGTAAATAAAGTCACGAGGGCATTCTTAAGACATACCCGCATTAAGAGCCAGGGAAGGAGCGTAGAGGACGAACGACATATATGCACTCTGTAAATATAATCACCGTCAAATAGCAGTACCGAATCCAGAAGATGAAAACAAAAATATTCATACGTTGTATACTTTGATCTGTACATTTTTATATACTTTATATATTCCAACACTAACCAACTATTCTAAAACATAAGTAATTGCCGTTTTTTCTGGTAGTGCTATGATCAGATATATACCATATTAAGATAAAGAAACATTTGCAAAATCATATTGTCAATAGTCCCATAATGTCAGCTTTGATCCACATCGCTGACATGAAGGGACCATCGAGTGCAGAGACATCTCCGACATCGAGGATTATTTAGTGTATTATATCTCTAGTCTAGTCTGCTATATAAGGTGAACCCATTGGTCAATGTTCGAGCCGAGTTTTGTGTCAGGATAATTGTCAGAGAATTGGTCGTAATGACGTCACTTCCGACATGAAGGGGGGAATAGGTCCAGGGTTATATATCACAATGGAATGGAAATATGCATGGTGGTTAGGATTATCAGGGATACTTTCCAGATGCTAATACACATGCACACAGTAAACTGTCCACCAACATATTAACGATGCACCCTGTCCCCTAGTGAGTGTTGACGACACTGTGGACTTACTGTTTGCAGAATGTAGATCAGGGAGGCGAGAACACGGACAGGCTTGCTAAAGCGCAGCTCTAGATACTGAAAACACAGAATTCGTGATAATTCATCAACAATATTGTGTCTATTGCCAAAATGTAAAGAAAAGGGATATTTAAATTGTTGTACTTGTGTTTTGAGCATTTTCAGTTGGTTGTCATAGTTATGCAAACAGTAACGGAAGATGAAGTATCCATCCGTATAAAGAAGGCAAACAAAGTTCAATGGATAGTCAACTATTTTATTGCAATGAGTGCGACGTTTCGGTGAAGGAGCTAACACCGTTATCATTATCTTTCACTGTTAGTACCTACATCTTACAATGATTGCAATAAAGAAGTTGACTATATAACATTTCGTTTTCCTTCATCTTTACAACTTCTAAAATGTCACTCAAAGAAGTCATATAAGGAGGTACCATCTCTGAGGTGCCCAGTTGTGTCAGTCGACATCCATATCTGTACATGTAATGATGTTTGTACTGTACGTACATGTATAAAAGCTGTTCAACGTACCCTACTATACATGTGACCCAAGTACTATCTCCGCTATTATATGTATAAAAACCATTCAATGTACCTTCTGCCAATGAAGGGATATGAACACACCTTATTGTAACAGCACACCTTATTGTAACAGCACACCTTATTGTAACAACACACCCTATTGTAACAGCACACCTTATTGTAACAGCATACCTTATTGTAACAACACGCCTTATTGTAACAGCACACCTTATTGTAACAGCACACCTTATTGTAACAGCACACCTTATTGTAACAGCACACCTTATTGTAACAGCATACCTTATTGTAACAACACGCCTTATTGTAACAGCACACCTTATTGTAACAGCACACCTTATTGTAACAGCACACCTTATTGTAACAACACACCTTATTGTAACAGCACACCCTATTGTAACAGCACACATTATTGTAACAACACATCTTATTGTAACAGCACACCCTATTGTAACAGCACACCTTATTGTAACAGCATACCCTGTTGTAACAGTACACCTTATTGTAACAACACACCTTATTGTAACAGCACACCCTATTGTAACAGCACACCCTATTGTAACAGCACACCTTATTGTAACAGCACACCTTATTGTAACAACACACCTTATTGTAACAGCACACCCTATTGTAACAGTACACCTTATTGTAACAACACACCTTATTGTAACAGCACACCCTATTGTAACAGCACACCTTATTGTAACAACACACCTTATTGTAACAACACCTTATTGTAACAGCACACCCTATTGTAACAGCACACCCTATTGTAACAGCACACACACCTTATTGTAACAACACACCTTATTTGTAACAGCACACCTTATTGTATTGTAACAGCACACCTTATTGTAACAGCACACCTTATTGTAACAACACACCTAACACAGCACACCTTATTGTAACACTATTGTAACAGCACACCTTATTGTAACAGCACACCTTATTGTAACACACACCTTATTGTAACAGCACACCTTATTGTAACAACACACCTTATTGTAACAGCACACCTTATTGTAACAGCACACCTTATTGTAACACACCTTATTGTAACAACACACCTTATTGTAACAACACACCTTATTGTAACAACACACCTTATTGTAACAGCACACCCTATTGCACACCTTATTGTAACAACACACCTTATTGTAACAGCACACCCTATTGTAACAGCCTTACACCTTATTGTAACAGCACACCTTATTGTAACAGCACACCTTATTGTAACAGCACACCTTATTGTAACAGCACCTTATTGTAACAGCACACCTTATTGTAACAGCACACCTTATTGTAACAGCACACGCTATTGTAACAGCACACCTTATTGTAACAGCACACCTTATTGTAACAGCACACCTTTATTGTAACAACACACCTTACAACAGGTAACAGCACCCTGTAACAACACACCTTATTGTAACAACACAACGCCTTATTGTAACAGCACCCTATTGTAACACACCTTATTGTAACAACACACCTTATTGTAACAACCTTATTATTGTAACACCTTATTGTAACAGCACACCTTATTGTAACAGCACACCCTATTGTAACAACACACCTTATTGTAACACATCTTACTCACTCTGTCGAGGTGAATGATGCATTGATTGGTTTGTTCTATAGATATTTTTGGTTTTAGATATTAACTTGGTTTATACGACATAAAAGCACATATTACATACTCAATGAGTACATAAACATTCAACAGGAGAGAATAACCCGTTTGGATTTTGGTTCGAAATAGATTCATTTGGTGTGCCAAAAAATCAAAGCATTTTTAATTATGATTTTTCTGTGTAAATACCTACTACTATTAGAAATTACCAGCTCATAATGTCCTAGTGTCCACTTTTTGCAAATATATTGTGCAACTTTTGTAATACCAGTAATTGTGTATTCGTAAATTTTGTCAATATATTTTACTGTTAAATTTCTGTACGTTCAGGTAGATGCCTTTGATGTATTCGAATGAACAACACACCTTATTGTAACAGCACACCCTATTGTAACAGCACACCTTATTGTAACAGCACACCTTATTGTAACAGCACACCTTATTGTAACAACACACCTTATTGTAACAGCACACCCTATTGTAACAGCACACCTTATTGTAACAGCACGCCTTATTGTAACAGCACACCTTATTGTAACAACACACCTTATTGTAACAACACACCTTATTGTAACAGCACACCTTATTGTAACAGCACACCTTATTGTAACAGCACACCTTATTGTAACAACACACCTTATTGTAACAGCACACCCTATTGTAACAGCACACCTTATTGTAACAACACGCCTTATTGTAACAGCACACCCTATTGTAACAGCACACCTTATTGTAACAACACACCTTATTGTAACAGCACACCCTATTGTAACAGCACACCTTATTGTAACAGCACACCTTATTGTAACAGCACACCTTATTGTAACAACACACCTTATTGTAACAGCACACCCTATTGTAACAGCACACCTTATTGTAACAACACGCCTTATTGTAACAGCACACCCTATTGTAACAACACACCTTATTGTAACAACACGCCTTATTGTAACAGCACACCTTATTGTAACAACACGCCTTATTGTAACAGCACACCTTATTGTAACAGCACACCCTATTGTAACAACACACCTTATTGTAACAACACATCTTACTCACTCTGTCGAGGTGAATGATGCATTGATTGGTTTGTCTATAGATATTTTTGGTTTTAGATATTAACTTGGTTTATACGACATAAAAAGCACATATTACATACTCAATGAGTACATAAACATTCAACAGGAGAGAATAACCCGTTTGGATTTTGGTTCGAAATAGATTCATTTGGTGTGCCAAAAAATCAAAGCATTTTTAATTATGATTTTTCTGTGTAAATACCTACTACTATTAGAAATTACCAGCTCATAATGTCCTAGTGTCCACTTTTTGCAAATATATTGTGCAACTTTTGTAATACCAGTAATTGTGTATTCGTAAATTTTGTCAATATATTTTACTGTTAAATTTCTGTACGTTCAGGTAGATGCCTTTGATGTATTCGAATGAACGTTTTATTGGAAGTAAGGGAGACTATGTTTTCTTACTATTAATTACATGCGTATTTATAGAAGATCAATTCTAACAGTCAAAACAAACAAGTAACTCTGTGACCTTAAGTTTAATTACCTCCTCTACTCTGGGTCATAGAGCCAAATATACATCTTGTATAATGTAAACCGCAGAATACTGTGAAGATCAATTCAATGGCAAACATAACATTGCTGGGCTACATTACGGCGGTGGACTGCTAACGCATTCTCCCACGTCAAGTCAAGGCCTACTCTCACGAAATGAGAGATTTACATTGACGCTAGGTCTGCTTTCAGCCATCGACAGTGAAATGAAATGTCATATGCCTGTCATGTCATTGGGATAGAAACTGCTGAAAGAATTTGGGTTATTCGCTTTCTTGCTTGATCAGTTTCAGTCCCTACATTATTTTATATGTTTTATACGATTTTGATAATGGTCCCCAGCTTATCATAAAATGGCTAATCTAAATCTACAATTACCAGTCAGTTATTTTGTCATTATGTTCTTATTATGACATGAGTCAAGAAGGGTGACTGTGCAATTCGAGTTTTCTGTCTGGGCAAACAAATAAACTAAAAATATCTCAGCCAGCTTCATAATTTACTGTATGGGATCGAAGAAGGGACATTAACTGGTTGTCGCGTTGTCGCTCTCACAAAAACAAGTAAAAGCTGTCAAAATGACCAAAAGCGCAGCAATGTGATCATGACAATGGCACATAGTGACAATGCGACAAATGGCTAATGTGTCGAGTTGTCGCATATTGTAGAATATTTGTTATTCTACGAAAGGTCAACAGTGAGACAAAGGGGCAGTTGTCAAGGCCCAAATCCGTCGCGTTGTCGCGTAAAATGTGTAAAACAGCACTAAAGTGGGCGACAATGTGCATGTTAACGCTTTTTGGACAGTGCAACAATGTCCCTTCTGGGACTTCATACGAGTATTCTATTGTGTATTCAGATACTACCCAAGGCACGCTATTATCTATGCGCTGAGGAGTCTTTACAAATTTGCTCAGTGGGAACTTGAATATGTATTAGGTTTATGTAATGCGGCTATGTTAGTTGTGGATACAAAAAAATACAGGTAAGGTAACTATTGTGTTACAAGGGCTATTTCGATCTCATGTGTGTACAAATGAATCTGGGCCTACGAGTTTAATGCTCTAGAAAATACAACGAAGGGCTTCGGTTAAAGGAGAATCTCTTTTATAATACAATAATGGTTATGCAATAAAGTTGTATATGGGAAGATATATTTCTGTACTATACATTGCAACACATTTGATACATCTGTGAAGGTTAGGTACGTTTCAAAAGTCGTACCGTACATTTTGGTATAGGACAGTCCTTTACAAACATATACAGATTACACGGTACTGAGTGTTTCCACTCGGCTTCGCTATAGTGGCCATATCATCATTGGGACATTCTACAGTCTGAGATATAGTAATGTTCAATCAACACATGGGTAATTTTTTTATGAACGTTCATCAGTGTTATTGTGACAATGTTTTCGATAGAGATGTTTCTTTGAAAACATATTGCTTTTTATTGTTAGTAACTTTAACAGTGCTGGAAGGGTGTTACAGTAAATCATGTTGTGTCAGTCCTATTGACATTCACCAATAGCACTTCCGGAGAATAACTACCCTAGGTTGTTTCAGCCTAAATCAGTAAAATATCACTACTTGCCCAGGAAGTCCCATCTGATAGACCATCTGATAGACTGAGAACAGTAAGAAACCGTGTCACATTGACATGTCAAACAAACAGAAATAGCATGAAGGAATCTCGGTATGAAGTCATTGTATTATATAATTGAATATACATTTTGATCCAAATTCAATTCCTATGGTAGAACCATACATTTGTAAACGCCGCATGTGTTTCGTTTCAGTATTCTGCAATCTATTGTTATCATTATCCGCTAGGTCAGCCCGGCCCGACTTTACTTGGGTCAGTTAAGGTAGCTCCGTCAGTTATAGCGTTAACATTCATAACTCACCTGAAATACACTTGTCACATTGAGATTATAGAAGAATGGAATGAATACTACTGAGGATATGACCATTGCAAAAACAAATGCAAGGCATAACCACCAAAACATCGTCGAGAAGTTGTACATCTCAGCCGGCGTTCCGAGCAGCGTCAGTGCTGACAAAAACGTCACCAAGAGGGACATCGCCACTGGAAGGATATTCATATCTTTCCCTCCCAAAAGGTAATCCTTAGAGTTAACTTTGTTTCTGTCTTTGATGGCATAGAAGAGTCCGATCCCGGCCGATATGGCCAAAGTAAGACTGAAAAGGACATAGTCGGGGATAGTGAAGGTCTTCTTCTGTCCAGTGTAGATGCTGTAGTCCCCAGACATGATGGAAGGTCAGTGTTGTCCACGCTGGTTCCACAAATGAGTCCACACTCCCCTAGAACCAGTTTACGCCTCCCAGCTCTCTCTCACTCACACACTCAGTTCACTCGGCCTTTGTGAATCTTCCCCGGTCACGGCGAGTGCTTGTATATAAGACATATACTACTATTACTGTGTACATAGTCGAAGGCTGTCACTGCTCTCGTTCAGGTAGATGCCTTTGATGTATTCGAATGCACGTTTTATTGGAAGTAGGAGAGACTATTGTTTCTTACTATTAATTACATGAGTATTTATAGAATATCAAATCTAGCAGTCACTGTAGGTAAGAAATTGTCCCCAGGAAATAAACGAGTTGAATTCTTAAAGAGACACTGATCCAGAGCGATTAATGTTTCGCGCCAACAGTGTAAACAATCTCAGGTTGTCAGTCCCTGCTCCCTCGACCATGACGGACACTTGGACTGGGCAGCTGTCCACCTTGACAGAATTTCGTCAACCTAAACAATGGGACAATAAGAACGACGAATCTGCCCACCAGATGCCGCTGTTTTAAAATATCCCTGTAGTTCTTGTATGATTGTAATACTGTATCCCAGCAGTGTAGGCTTTTCCAAATTTTCTGATGCGTGGATGGTATGATGAATGACATCGTTATCGAATAAGAGTTAGCATCTGCACCGAAACGTCGCTTACATTAATCACAAAAAAACAATTCATATGTATGTATACATGCGTCGACCCCTAAGTTTCTTAGGCAACTAAAATTGCATGTAGTACAGCGATTACTACTCCCTTGCTGTAATCCATGTTTGGTAGAATAAAACTACACCTGTATGTTTGTCATCATTCACTTGATGGTCAGTTGATGAATGTACAACAGGTACAATTAGCGATAGCATCACTCAGATTACCCGATAAAGGTGCCAATTTATCATTTCTCGTGTATGTCTGGAGTAAATACTAGTACTCAACATTATTAATTTAGGTCTGATGTGGCAAATGTATTACATGTAATTTAATATGCGCTTGGAAGTGGAATTATCAGCTGACATCGATCAAAGGATTAACCAATAACATGCTGATTGATTAATTACTTTCCTCTTGCACAGTGTATTTGTCGGAAGGTAGTGTTTAAGTATGTAGGTTTTCGAACGTACACCGAATGCACCCACAGAGTTGGTACCAGTGTGCCTTTAGTTTATTCTGCCTGCTGCCCATTTTGAGTATAATTGTAACTGTAGGCAACTGCTTCATTTAGTAATATGACAAGTTAAGGCCAATATACGTGAGGCTGTTCAACTTGCAGAAAGAGGTAACAAAACAGAGAGTCGGCGCTGAACCACCCCCTGTCACAGATTTTGAAGTTGCTGCAATCCGTGCTTCCGAGCAAGTGTTTCCTCATGCAAACATTAGAGGATGTTCTTTTTTGCCCATTATTCCCAGGCTGTGTTACGTTAAGTTGCAGAGAAAGGACTTGCTGTGGAATACAAGACCGACCCAGTTATTCAGGCCCACGTCGTTCGAAGAGCTGTTGCTCTGCTTCCCCTTCCCTCTGACCAAGAGAGAGATGCCTGGATGGACATCATCGACGAGTTGCCATAGGTCAGAAAGTAACTGACTTCAACGACTACGTCACCAGCACCTGGATTGATTACGATGCCCGTTTCCCGATAAGGATGTGGAACCAACATGACACAGTAGTTCCAAGGACCAACAACCACTTAGAGAGATTCCACAGCAGACAGAAATACAGAATCCAGAAAGCTCATTCAAACATATATGGGTTTGTGTCATAGATCAAGGAGATCGAAAAGGTTGGTCGGGTGAAGCTCATCCAGTCCGACCATGGATGTGCAGTCCGTCGCCGTCCTCGAATCTACCGTGAACTGGATAGTTCTCTCCACAGACTGAAGCAGCACCTCGCCACAGGAAGAAAATCTCCTCTGCAGTTCCTGGATGCATCTGGACACCTGCTCAAGCTGGCATAGGACTCTCTGTGAAACCTCTAAAACTGTCAAAAGCTTAAAGCTTATTTCACTGTGAAATGTGTTAAATTCTCGACAATTTCTTAACTTAAAATCAGTTTGCTTAAGAATGTGCAAAACATTGATATTTATGTAATTTAAATTGTTAGTGTTCAGTTTGAGTTGCAGATCAATTAGAGCATAGTCACTCAAGCATACTGGGCTAGTTCATTACTGTTGATGGATGAACCAGGCTAAACTTCAAAACCGCTCAACCATAAAGATGTTTTGATAAGACTGTAGGCAGAATGAATTGCAGCACATTGGGAACATCCCCACCCACTTTTTGTCGTAAAGTGTCTGTGTAAAAACAAAACCTTTCCTTCAAAGGATTAACCGCCAATAAATACGTTGATTGATTGCTCATTGTTGTCTAACTAAATTACTGTTTTTAAAGAAAGGTGGATATCATGAAAATGTTTGTCAGGTGTCTTGAGTGTCTTGAGTGACCATTGCAGAGCTATGCACCAATGTGAAACACCTGAAACAGTCACATGACCAGTTGAGAGACTATCACTAGTTGTAACGTTATATTCATTTTTGCATATTATACTGTTAATGTTAAATGACACATGACATGGAACAACGTTCTCTGTTAGCTGCAAATGAATGGCATATAGTTATTTTATGTTGATATTGATGCATATACTCCTCGAACAAGGTAATAACTTGACATTATCGCTATGACTTTATCAGTTTAATTTTAATATTTGTATTTTGTTTTTATTCATTTGTTGTAGCATTAAGCAGAATCATTCTACTTCTTTATTTTTAGCCGTGAAGTTCGAGGAGACAGACAACATACACTAGGTCGCACTTAGGGCGTGTATGTGATAGATGATTCACGTTGGCAATCTGTAAAATGTCTAGCTATTACAGTCATGTTATAAATACACTAAAAACAGACCGTGTACTTTTTATGAAGTTCCATAATGCATAAACATATAATTATAAGTTCATTAGGATTATAAGACTGACTGACTGACTGAGTTTGGTTTTACGCCGCTTTTAGCATTATTCCAGCAACATCACGGCGGGGGACACCAGAAATGGGCTTCAGATTATAAGACAAAAATATAAAGACGTACACTTACTTCGGGTTTTTCAGTCCAAACATTTTGTGTCACTGGCAGATGAAGTGAAACTTCAAAATTGTTTTCATATTGATGGAAGATGGAAATATTAATGAGTAAAAAAGATTTCATCTTTATGATCAGTATGAGGATATTCATATCATACTTATACTACTAACTGCGCATGCAGGTGGCGCAGCAGAGGTCGCAACCCAGTCAAGAATTCTGGGATATCACCCGGGTAGTCGCGGGGAAAAGCAGTAACAAAAGCAACAACCAGTCCCGGGGAAATCCACTGGATCAGTGCCCCTTTAAGATGACCAGCCATGTCGTTTTTTGTAAACAGGTAGTGGAAAGGGACCCAGGACAGAACCTTGGTGTACCCTAGCTTAGATGCCTTTTGTAGACACTTACAGTTTACAAATACAGTTTGTTTCCGCCAAGAAATAATATATTTTAACTGGGATAATAGTTCACCATTCATACCATATTTTGGCAGATTTGCTTAGTAAGTCAAAACTGTAGAGACACCACAATATGCCATTCTATACATGATGGAGTGATATTCTTAAATTTCAAAAGGATGTGATTAAGGCTTATTCATTAAGTTGTAAAATATATAGCTATGGTTCACGCAGGTTTGCTATTTCGATCCCATCTGTATACAAACGAATCTGGGCCTACAAGATTATAGCTCAAGAACATAAAACAGTTGGAGTTTAGTTATACGGAGACGCTCTTTAGAAACGCAATGAAAACATTGCAATAAGGTGACATGTGGGTAGATACAATTCTGTGCTATAGATTGTAACCCATTTGATGCATATGTGGATGTTAGGTATAAAAGTCCTGCCGTACACTTCGGTATGGGACAATCCTTTACAAACATATACAGATTAAACTGTAATGAGTGTTTCGACACGGTGTCATTTTAGTGGTCATGTTGTCATTGTGACATTCTACAGTATAAGATATAATAATGTTCAATCAACACATGGGTTATGTTCTTTATTAAGCCAACTTTCGAACTATATCTGCTTCTCCCAAAACAAATTTCAAACCCAATAATGCGGCGTAGAACCTCTAATCATTATTTACCAGTAGAGACCGGTCGCTTGAAACAAATACCTGGACAGTTAAGAAAATGCCATCTATGTAACTCCCCAGCGATAGCTGACGAGTTTCATTATCTGTTTAAATGTACGTACCTCGATAATGTCAGGTATATCTATATTAAAGACTATTACTATAAATGGCCAAATCTTATAAAATTTAAAATGTGACTTTAAGTCTTAACTCACTCACTCACTATAAAATTTAAAAACCTTTTGTCCACCTGTAAGTACTCTATCATAAAGTCTCTATCAAAATTTATACGGATTGTGAATGAAACCGTAAAAGCGTAATATATTTATTTACCCAACTGATCACATGTTACATATTATATATTCATACTGTACAATGTTCCTGTACCACCGAGGGTGGTTTGCGGGAATATTGAATTGAATTGTTAGTAACTTTAACAGTACTGGAAGGGTGTTAACCTATGTTAAATCATGTCGTGTCAGTCCTACTGACATTCACCAATAGCACTTACAGAGAATAACCTCCCTAAGTTGTTTCAACATGAATCAATAAAAGTTAATTAGAAAATTAATTTAGGAAAGCAGGGAATCCAACTCACTGTCACTACCTGCCCAGGAAGTCCCACTGTGTCACACTGACATCAAACAAAAGAAAGAGAATAAAGGAATCTCGGTATGTAGTCGTAATTATAATTGTATTTATTATTGAATATATACTTTGATCCAATTTAATTCCAAAACCACACGCTTATGAATGCTGAATGTGTTAGAATAACCACCCTAAGTTGTTTCAGCATGAATCAAAAAAGGTTAATTAGAGAATTAATTTAGGAAAAAAGGAATCCCAATCACTCTCACTACCTGCCAGGAGTGAGTGAGTTTAGTTTTACGCCGCACTCAGCAATATTCCAGCTATATGACGGCGGTCTGTAAATAATCGAGTCTGGACCAGACAATCCAGTGATCAACAGCATGAGCATCGATCTGCGCAAATGGGAACCGATGCCATATGTCAACCAAGTCAGCGAGACTTACCACCCGATCCCGTAAGTCGCCTCTTACGACAAGCATAGTCGCCTTTTGTGGCAAGCATGGGTTGCTGAAGACCTATTCTACCCCGGATTTTCACGGGTCACCTGCCCAGGAAATCCCATCTGATAGGCTGAGAACAGTAAGATACCGTGTCACA